TGCTACACAATGGACCAGCAAACAAGTAAAGGAAGTCGTCTTCCTGACAGGTTGTCACTCAGGGGGAAAACACCAAACTGACCTGCTACATCTGTACACACACACCCGTGAAGATCCGGGTTAGTAGTGGTCTTCAGCAAAACGTGTAACAAAAGAGGATGCCCCACACAGATTTATAACTCATAAAATAAGATACATGTAATCGTGCCCACACTTAATATCTCAGCAGTTCAAGCGAAGCCAGCAAGTCGTATTTATAACTTACGTTCATGAATGTTTGTAACTATGTATGTGTGTGTGTGTGTGTGTGTGTGTGTGCTTGTGTGCGTAAAATGGTATTCTTCCAATAACATTTAATTGTAAGAGTGCCTCCCATTCCCCCATCCCCAAAAATAATAATATTATACAATTATCATAATATAATATTATATATAATAATATAATATAATACATAATATACTGAAAATGTAGGATGATAATATGATAATACCCTGTATTATTATTGTATTACCCAGGCACGGTATTGTTACAAAAAATATGGGGGAATTGAAGGAACTCTTTCCCATTTAATCATGTAACCATATTTATTTCCCTGCCCCTTCCAAAATCACCCTAAGTGGGTTACATAACCGACTTCATTACCCACGTGGTCAACGTATGGATAGTTGCATACTAATCTCGTACGTCACACGAGTGTCGTATCGCGTTGACCTGTGTCGTAACGACTTGACCTGAGATTCTAACGATTTGATTGGATAACCGATGACCTCTCAATTAGGTCACATTCTGACGTAACTATTTTTCATTCATAACAAACACGTGAATTTATTCATTCTTCAACTTAAATGCATTGTGGGAATGTAAACATCGCGAACGTTGCCGTGTCGCTGTTTAATTGTGAGTCGAACTGAGACATTATATCCGTCGAAAAAACATAAACGCAATGTTTCCACCAGTGATGTTAGCCGAATGAAACAACTGCAAACCAAGAAACGGGGTGCTACGGAGCAGTTTACTGTAGGAGGCTGTACGAGGCGATGACAACTGATATGCACTACCTAGGCAGTGACGTCATTACAGTGTGACGTCATGCAAATATTGTACTACAGTACAAAACTCTTCCGCAACCTCTTTATGAAACCGGTTTCGGTTTGAAACCAAAATATTAACAAAAATACGCTACTTTGTCAATTTAATGCATGTAAGACGTGGGTAATAAATAAAATACCACACTCGGTCTCATTACATACGAATTATACGACACTCGTGACCTTCCTATGTTATCTTTCGCTCGGTCAGATACCATAGGAAGGACACTCGTTTCGTATAATTCGTATATAATGAGACCTCGTGTAGTATTCTCTATTTGTGTGCTGGCGATTAAGTGCCTTACTCTGAGAGTGTGGGTTCGAATCCGGGATGGGACTCAACCTAATAAACCTACTGGAATCTATACTTTAACGATAAGGTGTAATCCCCAAAATGTTATATTTAACATTTGACTACTTTCAAAATGACACTGTGTTTTCAAGACTATCCCCGAGCAAGCCTCTCACTCCGCTGCACATAATGTGTTGTGTAACTAGACACGCTACTACAACGGGGACATTTTGTTTAAAGGCACAATGTCACACATTTTTAACAACATTTTTGGCCTATATTATATATATTGGAGCATGTGCACTCACTTTAGCCTCCCATTGATGCACGAAAAGACAATTATCCCTTACGACCTGCCTGAAAGCAATAAATGGAAATTCGAGGCGAACAGCTTCCAAAAAGAGAACACTTGCCATATATGGAATGTAAACGATTGCTCCGTACATCGAAAACTGTCGCACGCGGTGTTTGCCAAAGTGGTTTCAATCACAAGTTGTACGTAGGATATTCGTTGGGAGCGCTCAAAAGGATATAACTCTATGGGGTTCGCCTGAACCAATTTTCGGCCCGTAGAGGGCGCGCGAGTAGATTTAATGCAACGTTGCATTAATTCATACGAAATTTTCAATATAATATTGTTCTCTAATAATCTCTACGTAATTTTGGGGGAATAAATTATATGGTAGCTTCCCTGAGGGCTGATAGTTAGTATTATTGAGATAAATGCATCATTGATTTTTAGAGAAACGTCGTGTGATATAGTGCCTTGAAACATATTTTATTCACAAACTGAAAAAAGGTCGGTGACAAGTTCTTACAACGTATAAAACCTCTCTCCAGGAATATTGACAATAACACATCATAAATAGGTATTTAAAACAGACACACAGGAAGACGGACAATTAAGGGAAATGCTATAATAAAACACGGTGCAGAGGAAGATACGGTCTAGGCCGTGCTTGGCACTTATAATTTTACATCCTAGTGACCGCATCGCTAGCCCTAGGTACTGAAGATGATGATTTTGATTTTGATGATGATGATGATGATGGTGATGATGATGATGATTTGGACATTTAGCGTGCGCTTTCCGACACAATGCGTTTTGAACTTGGTTGATTTTGTGTTGTGTTTTTGTATTATTATTTTTTATGTTAGCATATGTTGGTTATGTGGTATTATAAGCGACCCTAAGAATAAACAATACTAGTAGTAAGCCTGCAATATTAATGAATAAAGATCTATCTCTCAGTCCATCAATAAAATGTGAGAGTAAGTGACTTGAATTGTTTTCATCACTGTCAAAAACCTAATGTTTGTGGACGGCTATTGTCGTTTACAAATAGTTATCTGCCAAGGCTTATCGGCTTGACCATACTTGTTGATAGCTGTGTCGCCCATAGGTGAGTAACCATCATGTTCAGAAGATATACGGGTTGCTCTTGTGGGAACTCACCACATGCTTGAAGACAGTGTTCGGAAGGTATCCAGCTAGTGACCTACAAGGTAAGAAATATACAGCCATATGGGTTCGTATTAGTATACTGTGTAGGAAACTTATTGGTATTCATAGATCATGGTGGAATGGTGTTCTTGTCATTGAATGACGGATGACCAAGTAGACAAACCATCAAACCATTTGGTTTAAACAATATCAACTTTGAGAGAAAATGACCGGTTGATAAGCTACTTGAGTGTCATTTCTAATACATACTCACACGCACGCACGCACGCATATATATATAGAGACACACAAACACACACACACATATGACATTTAAAAGATGAGTCCAGGTATTTCTTTTCTTCTTGTCTCTTCCAGATATTTCAAAACTCTGCACAAGATATTTCGCCGTTCAACCAATGTTGCTGAATGACGAGCGTTAAACAGCGGAAGAGCTTGTGCAGATAAAGCAGTTTTAAAATATCTGGACTCATCTTATATAAGTCATGTACATTAAATGCTGACTGACCACCTATATATTGTCCCCTCACTACTGATGATAACTGATCCCTCCCCACACCATAATCCTGTCTCCACTCCACCGATCTGTTTGCACAACACAGTCCTGATGGTAACGTTCTCCCCGTCGACGCCATCCCCGTAGAGGCCCGTAAGCATTTCGCAAAAGAAAACGTGACTCGTCGGAGAACACAACATCATGCCAACGTCGTAACAACCACAAACGATGCTGTTCAGCCCATCGTCGGAGTTCACGGCGATGTCTATCAGTCAGGATGGGTCCAACATAAGGGCGTCAATCGACACCGTAATCCTGCCGCACGGAGACGGCGTCGGACGGTGGAAGCACTGATCAAACCACGTCGGCCTTGGACAGCGTTGGCGGTTCTGGCAGCCGGCACGTACGATCCCGAATATGGCGCCGAACAATGCCTCGATCTTGGCGAGGGGTGGTAACACGTGCCTGGCCAGGACATTGGCGGTCCCTGGTGGTTCCTGTTTGTTGGTAACTGTTGGCAAGTCTTATGATGGTGGAATGATGGCAACCGAATCGTCTGGCAATAATCCTGCTTGATGTGCCAACCTGCAACATGCCCAACGCCCATTCTCGTTCCTCTGGTGACAATCTTGGCATTGCAAAATAAACTTTACTTGCGGAGGTGCAGCTAAAATGAGAACGGTTTTTTGCCGACGGTCATTTATGCCCCTGGGGCGGTGGGGTAGCCTAATGGTTAAAGCGTTGGCTCGTCACGCCGAAGACCCGGGTTCGAATCCCCACATGGGCACAATGTGTGAAGCCCATTTCTGGTGTCCCCCGCATTGATGTTGCTGGAATATTGCTGAAAGCGGCGTAAAACCAAACTCAGTCCGTCAGTCATTTATGCCCCTAATCAGCATGTTTTGCGCATGCAATTTGTGCTTTTCATGTGTGTTGTGCATGAATTTTGTTGCTGTCATGTGATGTGTTCCATGATGTGTTCGGGCAATCCGTTCTTTACTGTACAGCATTATTTATTGTTTTTTGTGTTATTAACAACATTTCCAACGTTCATCTACACTCTCAAAACAATCCTATTACCATATTTCAAAATGTAGAGGTTGTGCGTTTTCAATGATGTTCAGTATATTTTTTCGTGTTCCATACAGTCTAAGTATTACTATTGTAATTGGTACACTTACGTCTTTGAAATAAAGATTGGATTTTGTACGACTTAAGTTTTCGTCCACAATATTCAATTCTTTAACAGCAGGCGGTAAAATGAGTTCTTATATATTTCATACGGCACAGTGGCAGTCAGTGTCCATTTAAAAGCCTACTGTTATATACGGATTTGTAGACACGGATGGAAGTGATTTATTTCCTGAATGGAATGGGGCTGATAAACAGGCAAGGTATATCCACCTCTCCGAACAAAACATTTCAGAATTACGAGATTCGAACCCACACCATTAAAGTCAAACACTCACTCATTCACTCACTCCAAGTCAGCCGTCTAATCCATTCAACCCCCGCGGCTTCCATTTGTACTTTACTTGGAAAGTGTAATCCCAAATATAAGATGTGTTACACTTTAGTGGAATCCACAACCAACGTTCTGCCAAACCTAGAGATGAAATCATGGCATGTTGTTTTATGACGCAGGTTATCATTATCAAGATGGGCGTACTGAAGCACCTGCTGACGGCCACAGTTGCCGCCTACCTGGTGTTTGGCTTGTTCCGCTACCTGGACACGTCTGTTCCCGAGGGCGTGCCAGAAGTCTGGAACGCTAGGATCCTGGACGCTGCACTCAGGACTAATGGAAAACTGGTAGGTTTGGTTTTGTTTTGGGGGCGGTGGGGTAGCCTAGTGGTTAAAGCGTTCGCTCGTCACGTAGAAGACCCGGGTTTGATTTCCCACATGGGTAGAATGTGTGAAGCCCATTTCCGGTGTCCCCCGCCGTGATAATGCTGGAACATTGCTAAAAGCGGCATGAAACCATACTCACTCACTGTCTGTTTTTTGTTTGTTGTACTTATGTGAAACCCATGGGGCAATTCAAACCATCAGCCCTTGAGTGCAACTCAGCAATATTCCAGCTATATTGGTGGCGTACATTATTGTACATAATCGAATCTGGACCAGACAATCCAGGGATCAACATCATGAGCATCAATGTAGACAATTGGGATACGATGACATGTGTCAACCAAGACAGTGATCTTGCCGAGTACAAACTACATTTGTAGTATGTATTAATAATTGATGAGGCGGGTAGACAGATACACACAGAGACAGACAGTATATTTATATTTGAGTATATCTAACGTACCAGATACTATCCCTCCATGATTTCGGCATTACCGGCGGTGTCACGTGGTTCACCAGAAAGATGGTTGACGTCGTCTTGACAACACTCATCACCGGAAGTCCTTTCGGGAAAGGCGACGACCCAGAACTAAAGGTACTCACCTTTGTTTGTTGTTGTTCAATGTCGCGCTCATCAGTATTCCAGATGTACGGTCGGTAAATAATCCAGTCTGAGCGTAACTTCCCCTTTTCAAATTTACAGACAAACTCGTGGAGGTTTGAAGATGTAATTTCTAAAGCAAACACATCTTATTTCGTCCATGCCATCACAGGCGGCCATGTATTTTTTTAAGACGGGTTAGTTTTCCGTGCGGGAAATATGAATATTCGGAAGAAGACCGACAACTTAACGGTGATTGGTTAAGCTGAATTTCTGCAACGGTTACAATGGTACTCGAAACAGTTACAAGGCACATGTCATACCTGCATATACTGATCCTGCGCTGTGTATCTTTGTATCTTTTCAACTGTTAGTCAGCTTAATCTAAAATGAAACTTACAACTTTATCAATGAGAGCTACTTGTTTACTGCATAGAGCGATGTTTCGATGTATAATCTTACACCCTTATCAAGCCACTTTTAGCTTGATGACGGTGTACGAATCTCCATCGAAACTTCGCTCCATGCAATAAACAAGAAGTTGTTACTGATAAAGTTATATATTTCATTTTGACTCACCAACTTCTAGAATACCGATCAAATCTAAGCCTTATTATTTACCTCCAGATAACGGACACCCAGTATAAAGGCGTGGATGTGAGGGTCTACGAGCCAAAGTCCTGTTCTGGAACCGACAGACCGGTGTTGGTGTATTATCATGGAGGTGGCTGGTCTTGGCTGTCTATAGGTAGGTTCCAACTTACCTGTCACCATGACACATGACACATGACGTGATGGTGGCTGGTCCTGGCTGTCTATAGGTAGGTTCCAACAACTTACCTGTCACCATGACACATGACGTGATGGTGGATGGTCCTGGCTGTCTATTGGTAGGTTCCAACAACTTACCTGTCATCATGACACATGACGTGATGGTGGATGGTCCTGGCTGTCTATTGGTAGGTTACAACAACTTACCTGTCACCATGACACATGACGTGATGGTGGATGGTCCTGGCTGTCTATTGGTAGGTTCCAACAACTTACCTGTCACCATGACACATGACGTGATGGTGGCTGATCTTGGCTGTCTATTGGTAGGTTCCAACAACTCACCTGTCATCATGACACATGGCACATGACGTGATGGTGGATGGTCCTGGCTGTCTATAGGTAGGTTCCAACAACTTACCTGTCACCATGACACATGACGTGATGGTGGATGGTCCTGGCTGTCTATTGGTAGGTTACAACAACTTACCTGTCGCTGTCTATAGGTGGTTGCAACTTACCTGTCACTCATGAACATCATGACACATGACGTGATGGTGGATGGTCCTGGCTGTCTATTGGTAGGTTACAACAACTTACCTGTCACCATGACACATGACGTGATGGTGGATGGTCCTGGCTGTCTATTGGTAGGTTCCAACAACTTACCTGTCACCATGACACATGACGTGATGGTGGATGGTCCTGGCTGTCTATTGGTAGGTTCCAACAACTTACCTGTCACCATGACACATGACACATGACATGATGGTGGCTGGTCCTGGCTGTCTATAGGTAGGTTACAACAACACCTGTCACCATGACACATGACGATGATGATGGTGGATGGTCCTGGCTGTCTATTGGTAGGTTACAACAACTTACCTGTCACCATGACACATGACACATGACGTGATGGTGGCTGGTCCTGGCTGTCTATAGGTAGGTTACAACTCACCTGTCACCATGACACATGACACATGACGTGATGGTGGCTGGTCCTGGCTGTCTATAGGTAGGTTCCAACAACTTACCTGTCACCATGACACATGACACAAGACATGATGGTGGCTGGTCCTGGCTGTCTATAGGTAGGTTACAACTCACCTGTCACCATGACCTGACACTGTCTATAGGTAGGTTCCAACAACTTACCTGTCACCATGACACATGACACAAGACGTGATGGTGGCTGGTCCTGGCTGTCTATAGGTAGGTTCCAACAACACCTGTCACCATGACACATGACACATGACGTGATGGTGGCTGGTCCTGGCTGACACATCTATCCTGGGTAGGTAGGTTTACAACAACTGTACCTATCACACATGACACAAGACATGATGGTGGATGGTCCTTGACACTGTCTATAGGTAGGTTCAACAACTTACCTGTCACCATGACACATGACATGATGGTGGCTGGTCCTGGCTGTCTATAGGTAGGTTCCAGCAACTTACCTGTCACCATGACACATGACACATGACGTGATGGTGGCTGGTCTTGGCTGTCTATTGGTAGGTTCCAACAACTTACCTGTCACCATGACACATGACGTGATGGTGGATGGTCCTGGCTGTCTATTGGTAGGTTCCAACAACTTACCTGTCACCATGACACATGACGTGATGGTGGCTGGTCTTGGCTGTCTATTGGTAGGTTCCAACAACTTAGCTGTCACCATGACACATGACACAAGACATGATGGTGGCTGGTCCTGGCTGTCTATTGGTAGGTTTCAACAACTTACCTGTCACCATGACACATGACGTGATGGTGGCTGGTCTTGGCTGTCTATTGGTAGGTTCCAGCAACTTACCTGTCACCATGACACATGACACATGACGTGATGGTGGATGGTCCTGGCTGTCTATAGGTAGTTGACAACTCACCTGTCACCATGACACATGACACAAGCCGTGAGGGCGGCTGGTCCTGGCTGTCTATTGGTAGTTTACATCTCACCTGGCACCATGACACATGACACATGGCACATGACACAAGACGTGATGGTGAGTGGTACTGATTTTAATTTGAGCACACAAGGCCTCATTTACTGAATCAGTTGTTGGTTGTCTTCCAATTTTTACCCCGAGCGCTACTTCAATAACAAGATGCTTAATATATTCCCACATGGGGATCCTTATTGGTAGTACACTGGCTTTGGAAAGACAACTCATCGTTACATAATGAGGTCACATGTTAAGTGAAGAATTCGCATAACAGGAATGTTGCTGAGTGTAAACAGCAAATAAAACAAAAGCCATTTTGAGTTGATGATGTTTCCAGATGTGTACGACCCGACAATGAGGGTGCTGGCCTTTCACAGATACCGTCAGTCTCCCGAGCATGCTCATGCAATCCCTTTTCAAGACTGCCTCACCGCCACGGAGTACGTTTTAAACAACGCCGTCAAGCTACAGATAGATCCGACCCGCGTAGCGACATCAGGTGACAGCGCCGGAGGACATCTGATTGCCGCTGTGGCCCTCCGCCTGAGGAAGAAGATCAAGATCCAAGTTCCGATATATCCCTGTCTGCAGCTGCTGGATCTCCAGACTCCATCCTACATTGAGAACAGGATGTATATCCTCGGGATGCTGAACGACGTCTCCATGTTGTCCTACTGGCTGAACTACGGCAACATTAGCTACGACCATATGGACGACATCCTCGCCAACAGGCACACCTCATCTGCTGTCAAAAAGTCGAAATCCGCGGAAAGGATTAGTCCGAAATACTACATGAAGGAGCATAATTATCAGGACTGAGAGTTTGAAGTCACCCTGTAAACCCACTGATTTCGAAAACGAAAAACTCTTTTCGACAATTGAAGGCACTGTCCATGACCCATACTTGCGTCATTTATGGCCGATAACGCGGAGTAATGAGGGTTACCTTTGACCTATGTGTTAACCGTCGGATATGACGTGCTGCGCGACGATGGACTTATATATGCGCAGCGATTGAAGGAGGCAGGCGTGGACGTACATCTGGCGCATTATACGGAAGGTTTCCATGGAATGATTTTCTTTTTTGATGGACCAATACCATTTGAAGTAGGCAAACGGGCACTGGTGGATCTAGTGGTCTTCTTGGAGAATCATTTATGAACGTAGTCTCCGCTGAATTAGGTCTTTGATTGCCATCACAAGGTATATTGTAGTTAGGTCAAAATACTGCGACATGTGCGCAAGAAGCCTAGGGGCACTGGCAGATCTGAAGGTCTTCTTGAAGAAACACTTATGAACATAATCTCACTGAAATAGGCGCGAAGTAATGTATATATCGTCTTTGAATACCTTCAGGATGTGTTATATAATAAGATCGAAATGCTATGGCATGTACGCAAGAACTCATAGCAAAGCAAAATCAATTGATTGGATTGACTGAGAAAGATTTCTCCCCAAATGTGTCGATATAACTTTGTACGATACATATGCAGATGAGTGAAAACTTAAACAAATAAAACAACACATGTGCCACCATGTGTCTGATGTAATGTCATGATAGAAAGAGAGACGAAATCATGTATGATTGCTTGGTTGATTGCTTGATTAAGATAATTTCTCCCTAAATGCGTCGATATAACTTTGTACGATACATATAGAGCTGAGCACAATGCCAGAATGAACCATTCCCCTTCTCAGACAGAAACAAGCGATATGAAGGCACCTTGTGTACAGGACATCCATGCACCGAGAAACAACTGAACATCTGTATCCACTGAGGTTAGGTAGAAGTGTACCGAGCAGGTAGACACTAAATGAGTCGTACTAAATGTATTTCATGCGAGGAAAACATATTTTCTTATTTAAGAATTGTGACACCAACAGCATCCAAAAGATTCAATGCATCGACATATTCAGTAACTGATACAAATACTTCTATTGATCCACATGTATAGTAACAATTTCATGATTCTAATCGCTCTCCCAATATTTCTTTATTCACCGTTGGGCGGATCCACACACACACAGACACAGACACACACAGACAGACAGAGAGAGAGGAGAATTTTCCTCTAACCTTTGGATTTCATGATTTATGTGCACCCCTCTTCTCAATATCCTGGATCCGCCCCATGTATGAAATAAGCTGTTTGCTCCTGGTGGAACGTAAGGGCCCGTAAGTCTCTCGAAGTGCTACTTCCGGTACCGAGCTTCCGGTGACAAGCGTATATTCAAGAAGTTTTGGTTCCTTATTATATGGTCTCTGGTTTGTGTAAGTTGTGTTAGATATAATAAAACAGTTCAAAGAAATTTCTGAATTTTTCATTATTGATGATTGAAGGAACTATTCATATGGGTCAGAGGTCATAATGAAGCCCCCGGATCTCAAGATTCTTGCATTTACATAGCGACTTGTTTGTGCTCGTCGGGACCAACTAATGTGTGTTTTATCTTTCTGGCCAAGTTAGCCACCTTGCCACAGCTCCACATGGACATGTGGAATAATTTGGCGAGTCAATTTCACCTCGATTCATACTGGTTGGTTGGTTTGTTGTTTAACGCCCCACTCAGAAATATTCCAGTTATATGGCAGCGGTCTGTAAATAATCGAGTCTGGTCCAGACAATCCAGTGATCGACAGCATGAGCATCGATCTGCGCAAATGGGATACGATGACATGTCAACCAAGTCAGCATGCCTGACCACCCAATCCTGTTAGTCGCCTCTTAGGACAAGCATGGGTTACTGAAGATCAATTCTAACCCGGATCTTCACCGGTCAGTTTTAAGTGTAGTGCCTCTAGTTTCACAGATGTATTAGCAGAATCATTCACATCCTTCTGACAAATGCAAAAACTCTAGAGAAAGTGATTGAAAATGATTGTAAACATTTGTTTTACCAACTACCTATTTGATCTTCTAAACTTTCTTAAGAGTATAAAAGACCGACAGATCTAACAAAACATAGCTATTATTCATGAATTTATTTTCAAAGAACTATTTTTCTCATTGTTTTCAAACATAACTACCCTTCATTTCAGGGTTATTGCTACACTGAATGACATCATCCAATAAACTAAATTCATACAGCATCAGAATTTGTGTCACCAGACATAATCATGAATATAAATAAAACCTTAAAGAAGACATACTTGCTATTAACGACAGGTACATCCAGATCGGCTTATCGTTTACCACAGAGCTATTTTTGTGTGAAGGGATAGGTGGGCTGGGATTGATTATTTGCCAGGGCTGGTAATTTATTACGGAGGTAGTGAGGATAATGTGTTTGATAAATTACAAGGATAGTTATTCCAATTTCTCCTTAGGAATGGGTGGGTGGGCTGGTCATCATCCTTAGAGGTGGGTGGAGTTAGGTCATCTTCCATAGAGGTGGGTGGGCTGGGTACGTATTACATAGCTAGGTGGGATAATCATTTATCAAAGATGGAGACTGCATTGGTGGATCCAGAAGGGGGGGGGGATGTGTTGTTCAGGGGGTTCAAAACCACCACCACCCGTCCTTTTGAAAATGACTTAAGACCTCATTGAAGATTTTCTTTGCATTGGCAGAGCCAATGGGGGCTGAACACCCCACCCTACCCGTTTCAAAATTCCTGGATCCACCCATGGACTGGCTCAGGTATTATAAAGGTGGGAGGTTAAAAGAAATATTACTCTATGTAGGAAGTCATCAGCTATCATAAATAACCAGTCCCTAAGAGGTAATCTATCTCCAAGGGTGATTTAATAACATTAACAATATGGATTGATTCTCTTGTAACTGACCACCAACTGTGTACAATCACAAACTTAAAAAAGTCAAATATTTACCAGTATGACACTATTACTATGCTATACCCTCATAACTGGTCAACACATTTCTATTGGCGACAACAATAAAACTATGCTAGACCTATCTGAAGTACTAGAAATACTGAAACATCTGTTCATGCCTTCCTTGTGTTACCCGATACCCCGTAAAAATGACTAGATTTCTGATGTTTCATCATCCATAGTTCTGTTTGTTACAGAGAATCCCTGACAGTTTTACCCAAACGAAGTTAGGGGAAATGGTGAAAACATCTGTAAAGCAAGACTAGCAAGAGTGAAACTCGTTAGCAGCTTCGTGTCCTTGAAATACATTGAGTGTGTGAGTGAGTTTAGTTTCACGTCACATTCTGCAGTATTCCACTTATATGGCGGCGGTCTGTAAATAATTGAGTCTAGACCAGACAACCCATTGATCAACAGCATGAGCATCAATCTATGCAGTTGGGATACGATACATGTCGACCAAGTCAGTAAGCCTGACCACCCGATACTGTTAGTCTGATATACATTGAGATTAGCATGTCTCAATACCATAAGTATCAAGTTTCAGGAAAGCATATTGTATTATGCGAGTCAGTGGCAGACATATCATATCATTGTAACATATGAAACCTCAATACTGCTACACACAAATGTAATCTCTTTATATAATAATGTCATTCTAATCATTATGAAAAATGTAATTTCATCGAAAGTAAATGATATATCAGTATAAATACTATGTTTAAGTGAATCACCCTGTATACTGTACAGTGCTAAGTGATGCATAAAAACACTGATATGTCAACAAAATCCTATCTCAACATTTCCTTGTATAATTTGATGTGTAATGGATTGTGGTTGCAGGTTTATCAGAGTGAGTGAGTGAGTATGGTTTTATGCTGCTTTTAGCAATTTTCCAGCAACATCACAGCGGGGCACACCAGAAATCACAGAAATGGGCTTGATACTTTGTACCCATGTGGGGAATCGAAAACAGTTCTTCAGTGTAACAAACAAACCCTCTACCCACTTGGCTTCCCCACTAAACAACTGACATTAGTGCGTCCATATTAGCAAACAGGATAAACACACATAAAGTCACCGAGCCTGAACACGTTGGTAGCCTCTTATGACAATCATGGGTTGCTGAGGACCAATTCTAACCCAGATCTTCACAGGGAGACAACCATGGGTTGCTGAGGACCAATTCTAACCCAGATCTTCACAGGGAGACAATCATGGGTTGCTGAGGACCAATTCTAACCCAGATCTTCACAGGGAGACAACCATGGGTTGCTGAAGACCAATTCTAACCCAGATCTTCACAGGGAGACAACCATGGGTTGCTGAAGACCAATTCTAACCCAGATCTTCACAGGGAGACAACCATGGGTTGCTGAAGACCAATTCTAACCCAGATCTTCACAGGGAGACAACCATGGGTTGCTGAAGACCAATTCTAACCCAGATCTTCACAGGGAGACAACCATGGGTTGCTGAGGACCAATTCTAACCCAGATCTTCACAGGGAGACAACCATGGGGTTGAAGACCAATTTGAACCCAGATCTTCACAGGGGAGACAACCATGGGTTGCTGAAGACCAATTCTAACCCAGATCTTCACAGGGGAGACAATCATGGGTTGCTGAAGACCAATTCTAACCCAGATCTTCACAGGGAGACAACCATGGGTTACTGAGGACCAATTCTAACCCAGATCTTCACGAGGGGAGACAACCATGGGGTACTGAAGACCAATTTGAACCCGGATCTTCACGAGGGGAGACAACCATGGGGTACTGAAGACCAATTTGAACCCGGATCTTCATAAGGGGAGACAACCATGGGGTACTGAAGACCAATTTGAACCCAGATCTTCACAGGGGAGACAATCATGGGTTGCTGAAGACCAATTTGAACCCAGATCTTCACAGGGAGACAACCATGGGTTGCTGAAGACCAATTCTGAACCCAGATCTTCACAGGGGAGACAACCATGGGTTACTGAGGACCAATTCTAACCCAGATCTTCACAGGGAGACAACCATGGGTTGCTGAAGACCAATTCTAACCCAGATCTTCACAGGGGAGACAAGCATGGGTTGCTGAAGACCAATTCTAACCCGGATCTTCACAGGGGAGACAATCATGGGTTGCTGAGGACCAATTTGAACCCAGATCTTCACAGGGGAGACAACCATGGGTTACTGAAGACCAATTCTAACCCAGATCTTCACAGGGGAGACAACCATGGGGTTGCTGAGGACCAATTCTAACCCAGATCTTCACAGGGAGACAACCATGGGTTGCTGAAGACCAATTCTAACCCAGATCTTCACAGGTAGACAATCATGGGTTGCTGAGGACCAATTCTAACCCAGATCTTCACAGGGAGACAACCATGGGTTACTGAAGACCAATTCTAACCCAGATCTTCACAGGGAGACAACCATGGGTTGCTGAGGACCAATTCTAACCCAGATCTTCACAGGGAGACAATCATGGGTTGCTGAGGACCAATTCTAACCCAGATCTTCACAGGGAGACAATCCATGGGTTGCTGAGGACCAATTCTAACCCAGATCTTCACAGGTAGACAATCATGGGTTGTTGAAGACAACCCAGATCTTCACCAGTTATTTGACACACACATTGTGTAGAATGACCTCACGACAGTTACATAAACGGTCTACATCAACAGACATGACATAAACATGACAAGAAAAGATTATGCACAACAAATTCAACATATGTAAACAAATACATATAATAGAAAACAATTATATAGTAATATCACATACACAGTTCACATATGGTAAATATAAAATTCTAAAATAACATAATTACCAAAATTTGAGATGATGTATTCTGAAAATGACATATTCCTCAATACCTAGTAGATGGAAGACCTGTCAAAAGGCTAGGACCGGCAGAAGACAATTAGAACAATATTTTGCTTGCTGGTTTCTTTATTTTCTTATGAGGTCAAAAGCTCAAAATGGTAAGTGAAACTTACAGCCTCTAATATACAACAGAATATAGGAAAATGCATTAAGAAGTAACCTTAACCTCATGTACCTCAGTTGATTAGCAGCGATGACAATAGATTAGAGTTATTTCCCTCTGGTTTGAGTTTGCAGAATTGAAGATTCTTCCAGTTTTATTTAGATCTGCTGGGGGCCAATTTCATCCCCAAGTGTGCAGAAATCCTAATAGAATCTATCAAATTTGAACTAAAAACATCAAAACTGATGTTGCCAGTATTCTACTTTACAAATCAAAACATATTGCAATAGTTTTCGAATTATCAAGCCAACTTAATAGATATATAGATGTAATAGAAATGAATAAAGGATTGTCAACAATATCGGAATTGGCCATTTTCCTTCTATCTGTCAGATACTGTATGAAATCAAACTCTTAGCAGATCTACATAAATCTGGATGAATCTTCAATTCTGCAACTCAAACCAAAGGGAAATAACTCTCATCTATAGTTGCCATCATGCTAATGAACTGAGTTTTCTTACCCCTTGTTAAGGCTATAATGTATCTGGGACAACTGAAAGTACTGATGCATACTGTCCACAATATCATTGGTGTATTCAAATGCCTGTCAATACAGTCAAATTATGTATGAGTATTTTAGGTATCTGGAAATGAGAACATCCTCCTGGATTGCCTCCATAATTCACAACAAAGCAGCAGCACTATCAATGTTGACATATAACCCAGAGACAGAAACACGGCTGAGTGAGTGAGTGGTTGAACGGCTTTGTTTGTTGTCTAAAAGCAGCACTAAGCAATATTCCAGTAAAATAGCAACAGTCTGTCACGGACAATCCAGTGATCGACAGCATGATGGATGAATGAGTGACACCTGAAATTGTATTGCTTTTGTTCATATCAAGGTGTGTGTGTTCTTGACTTGCCCACCCGCAACTTTCCCTAATATTTACTAACGACAAGTAAAGTCTGTGATGGAATCTGTTCGAGAATTTGGTAAAATCCATTTTGTCCAAGGAATAAAATGAAAACAGTTACCATGGTAGTCTTGTCATTATCACATGTCGACTAACTGACATATATTGCATATATTGTGTCTACTAAGAATTACACCATTCCAAACCTGTTCCTATGAACCCTAACCTTTCTGGTACTGACCAAATATAACTGCTTAACACGTTGACTGCCACCACAAGTATACTCGTAGGCACAAGAAGCAAACATCTCATGGCGGTAACAAAAGAGTCCAGGAGATGATTGTTTTTTGTGCCCGTTTTGCCAACATGTGAAACTTGCTATATAATACTACTGATATACGTACGAGATAATTTGTAGTGGCAAATTCTGCCAGAATTGTTACTATGAGTATACTCATGATAGGCAGTCAACGCGTGAATGTCTATGACAATGACAGCCACGGCCTGTAAATAATCAAGTCAGGACCAGACAATCCAGTGACTGATATCATGAATAACATCCCATATCCTCAGGGTTGGATACAGGGTCACGTGTCACTGACCACCAAATCCTTTCCATCGTCTCTTATGATCAGCACAGGTCCCCGCTTTCAATTCTACCTAAAATCACGAAATGTGCAACAAAGATACAAGGAAGTACAATCACTCATTATCTCTCAACTAAGGCTGTCACATGACACTGCTGCATCTCTCTGGCACGGAAGACTGAGAGGAAGGAAGCTATTGAAGGTTGGCTTGAAAGACATGTTGGGCAGAGTGTTCCCGGGGAGACAACATCAAGTCTGTTTCCCGAATGGCTGGTCAAAGTCGTCATCTTGGAGAGCAGATAAAAACTCCCTGAAACCCAAAGAAACATTTACTAAAGTGTATATTGCAAAATGGGAGCATACAGATAGAAGAGTGACTGAAAAAGTGATTTTACACCACTTTCAGTGAGTGAGTGAGCGAGCGAGTATGCTTTTATGCCGCTTTAAGCAATATTTCAACGATATCACGTGGAGGACACCATAAATGGGCTTCACACATTGTATCCATGTGGGGAATCAAACCCGGGTCTTCAGCGTGACAAGCGGATGATTTAACCATCCACCCCTACACCGCTCTTAGCAAATTAGTGGTATGTTGTGTTAAACTAAACCAATAAACATGGTTTCATTATCTTTTAAAGACCGCTCTCAAGCTATTTGACAGTGGTCTGTAAACATTTGATATTTGTGCTTTGGTTCTTGTTTAATTTGTCAGTCAGCAATATAGGAGGCATATGACAGCAGTCTGTGAGTGAGTGAGTGAGTTTAGTTTTACGCCGCACTCAGCAATATTCCAGCCATATGGCGGCGGTCTGTAAATAATCAAGTCTGGACCAGCACAAGCATCGATCTACGCAATTGGGAACCGATGAGATGTGTCAACCAAGTCAGTGAGCTTGACCACCCGATCCTGTTAATCGCCTCTTACAACAAGCATGGGTTACTGAAGATCAATTCTGGCCCGGATCTTCACGGGTCTACAGCAGTCTGGAACAGATCATCCAGTCTGCAGACAACTGAGATAGACAATCCAGTGACTGACATCATGAGCTTCGATTCATTAACCAAGTCAGCGAGTCCAGGAGAAAATGTAGGTTGATAAAAAGCCAACCAGACATGTACATACTCTGGCTACCAGACAAAACAGACATTCATTGACGTACCCAAGTTCCTGGCGTTTCCTACTGGGGTCCTGTTGGGGAACAACATCAGGGGTTTGGTAGACCTCAGGCCGAGCTGCGAAGAAGACAGCCATCAGACTTATTAACAGTTCAAATAAACAATTTGGAGCCAAAGTCACTTCTGTACTAGCATCAAACCAAAATTCATCACTTCATGTCCTGATTTGTTTTATAACATGACTGATATTTCTGATGCCCAAAACCCATCTGTTAACTAAGCATCATGATATATAGGAAATGACAAACTCGTAACATCTTCTTCCCTTGAAGATTCAGGCCTGAATTGGTCCTTAGCAACCCATGATTGTCATATGAAGCAACTAATGGGTGGTCAGGCTCACTGACTTGGTTGACACATGTCATCGTATCCCAATTGGGTAGAATCATGCCGTTGATCACTGGCTTGTCTTGTCCAACTTGATTATTTACAGACCGCTGGTATATTTCTGGAATATTGCTTAGTGTGGTGTTAACAACGACCAAACAGCATGATCTTCTGTCAATATGCTCATCATGGAACATCCTCTACTTAAGAGATGGAGAACTCAACCATCGGTTTCATGTCAACTGAGTGAGTGAGTGATAGTTTTACGCCGCACTCAGCAATATTCCAGCTATATGGTGGCTGTCTGTAAATAATCAAGTCTGGACCAGACAATACAATGATCAACAGCATGAGCATCGATCTGCACAATTGGGAACCAATGACATGTGATAACCAAGTCAGCAAGCCGGACCACCCAATCCCGTGAGTCGCCTCTTATGACAAGCATGAGTTACTGAAGATCAATATTCTAACCGGATCTTCTTCAGATGACAACTGACTGAGTTTAGTTTTCGCTTTTAGCAATATCAAATATATTCTAACCGGAATCGAACCGGGTCTTGGCAGCGAGCCAGCGCTTTAACCACTAGGCTAACCCACCGCCCCCTCACGGGTCAGAACAGAACAGAAGCAACAAAAGCAGCATGCCCACCTCCAAATATACTCCTCGGCCCTGTTTTCCTCTTCTCTGTCTTGAGTTCCCCGGCAGAGTCCTGGAGTATCTTGGAGATGCGCTCCAGCTGTCGGTCCATGCGTGACGCTGACTGCGGAGACCTATTGTTTGAGGTCCGTGACTTCTCTCTGCTGTGACCATTGTCTACACTCAGGGAGTTCGTAGCCGCCATCAGGTCGTCAATGCTGATCTACAAGCACAGGAGCAAGGGAGGTAATTAACAAGATGAATGGAATTTCCCACCAATCTTCTACTAGGTCTGTAACTGTAAAAGTCAGTGTATGAAATAAGCCAAAAGTCCAGCCAGACATCAGGGCCGGTAACTTCAAAATGTTACCAGCCCAAAATGGATTTAACCAGACCAAATATGGTGAATTTACTCAGATGTATGGAACATTTAAAATTTTTACCAGACCATCGGGCTGGCTAGCTGTAAATTTAGACCGTTCGTCAGAAATCTAGACCGTCTCGGGCTGTCGGACGGGCCTTTTTTCATACACTGGTAAAAGGTATGGTTGTAAGGCTCGCTGATGTTGTTGACAAGGTAACGTCATATACCAATTGTGTACATTGATATTCATGATGTTTATCACTGGATTGTCTTATCAGACTCAATTATTTATTATTAAACAACAAACCAACCAACCAACCAATGTCTGCGACATAACAGACTCACCTCATTCCGGGGCCCCATGTGTTGAGACTTTAAGTCACTGAAATCAGTCGTCTTCATATACTCCACTGCCGCCTTGAAAGTCACCAAGCAGTAGCTGGGAAAACAATGATGATATACAGGATACAAAATACAAATAGATGTTAACATGAAATAGAAGAGTTCCCGTAACAGTTGAAAGCCTCAAGCCATGCAGGTTCTAATTGTTTACGTCGTTGGTGTAACCCATAATCTCATAACCAACCAGACTTGGTCCAAGTCCGTTGTTGTAGAGAACCAGGTTAGCTAACACTACCTGCACACATAACCTACCTGACATTGTCCATGTCCTTGGTGGTAGAGAACCAGGTTAGCTAACACTACCTGCACACATAACCTACCTGACATTGTCCATGTCCTTAACTAACACTACCTGTGGTAGAGAACCAGGTTAGCTAACACTACCTGCACACATAACCTACCTGACATTGTCCATGTCCTTGGTGGTAGAGAACCAGGTTAGCTAACACTACCTGCACACATAACCTACCAGACATTGTCCATGTCCTTGGTGGTAGAGAACCAGGTTAGCTAACACTACCTGCACACATAACCTACCTGACATTGTCCATGTCCTTGGTGGTAGAGAACCAGGTTAGCTAACACTACCTGCACACATAACCTACCTGACATTGTCCATGTCCTTGGTGGTAGAGAACCAGGTTAGCTAACACTACCTGCACACATAACCTACCTGACATTGTCCATGTCCTTGGTCATAGAGAACCAGGTTAGCTAACACTACCTGCACACATAACCTACCTGACATTGTCCATGTCCTTGGTGGTAGAGAACCAGGTTAGCTAACACTACCTGCACACATAACCTACCTGACATTGTCCATGTCCTTGGTGGTAGAGAACCAGGTTAGCTAACACTACCTGACATAAACCTACCTGACATTGTCCATGTCCTTGGTGGTAGAGAACCAGGTTAGCTAACACTACCTGCACACATAACCTACCAGACATTGTCCATGTCCTTGGTGGTAGAGAACCAGGTTATCTAACACTACCTGCACACATCCTACCTGGTTGTCCATGTCCTTGGTCAGAGAACCACCAGGTTAGCTAACACTACCTGCACACATAACCTACCTGACATTGTCCATGTCCTTGGTGGTAGAGAACCAGGTTAGCTAACACTACCTGCACACATAACCTACCTGACATTGTCCATGTCCTTGGTGGTAGAGAACCAGGTTAGCTAACACTACCTGCACACATAACCTACCTGACATTGTCCATGTCCTTGGTGGTAGAGAACCAGGTGAAGTTCTCCATGTAGTAAATGTCACTCTGGAGGTGACTACACTTGGCCTGGGCTATAACCGTCACCTGTAACAAGGTCCATGGGTCAGTATAGTCGCTCACAAGGGAAATTTCCCATTTTAAAGTAAATACTTCTTCTCTTTAATTCCATAAAACTACTGAATAAATAACAAATATGGGATAATCAAGTCGTATAAAGTTGGTAAGATAAGGTCAGCCCAAATTATTTGTATATTATTTGTATTTTCCAACTACACTGAATGGCACATTAGTTATGTGAATTAGGACACATCTCACAAAGCAAACTTATAGCCAAACTCCCATAGTTAACATAGGCTTATTACAGTCATAACACTCAGGCCACTTCGAGGATGGGCCTTCTAGCACCTCACAGGCGGCTTGGGTTATCTGGGGTAATAATAATATAATTCACTTGGTGAATGGAGTTTAGCTCATTATGAATGCACTTATGTTTCACAGATTAACGATGAAAATGCAGGAGAGAGGGTTCGGGTGATCCTGGCACAGTCAGGCTGGTAAGGCTCATCATCAGCTCAGGGCCCTTGTCCCCTCTAAATGCATCCCAGACAGCGAATGGGTCTACTCCCAGGAAACGCTGCCAAGTCGAACCCACCAAGAACTTACCGGAGAATATGAAGGCTCCCCAACACTGCAGTCTTTTGCATTACCCAGAGTGTCAGAAGGGCTGTCTCCCTGTGGAGAACCCGGGCACTCCCCTGATCTGTGCCAAGAGATCAGGAGGTACAAAACCAAGGGCACCGAGAACAATGGGGAGCCTGACGACAGTGTACTTGGGATGCAAGCGAGACATTTCAAGGCGAGGTCCGCATACTTAGTATGCTTTTCCTGAATCTTGCCAATCACATTGGCGTCAAAAGGGACGGAAAATTCAATATATATAAATTCATTGGCTTTATCAAAAAGGACAAGATCAGGTTTGTTAGCAGGAATTCTTCTGAGGCTGTATATGGGCCTATTCCACAGAAGTTTGAAAGCATCATTTCCCATGACACCCGGGACATGTTCAGGGTCGTACCATGGATGGACCTCGGAGTCAAAGCCACAGGCATGTCGGAGACAGTAGTAAAAGCAACGAGCCATGCCATCACAGTCTCTGTGAATTCATTGCAAAGTCAACATTTCGTGTCAATATTCTCTTAAAGAATCACATTTAGGCGATTGCGAGTGGGAGTGAGCAACATAAAGGAAGCCCACAGTTTCACATTGAAGACCAGCCGACTTCATCCAGGCGGAGGAGTCGGTGGAATCGCTATTCTGTTCCACACACTACATGTACACACGATGCAATGGTTTGTCAGAAAGCTTCTCCACAAACGACCGACTCTGGGCAGACTTGGTGAAGGACTTCACCTGGTTTACTCCCATTGCAATGATTGCTGTACCGTCCAGCAGTACATTGCCATCAACAAAATCCACCTCAAATTTCAGATTCTGTCCAACAAACTTGGCACGCTTAAAATAGCTGTGGAATTCCTTCCTTTCATCATGAGTCTTATTATTATCATCATTGTTCCTCATAGTGCAGTGGGGGCGGTGGGGTTGCCCAATGGTTAAAGCGTTGGCTTGTCACGCCGAAGACCCGGGTTCGAATCCCCACATGGGTACAATGTGTGAACCCCATTTCTGGTGTCCCCTGCCATGATGTTGCTGGAATATTGCTAACAGCAGCGTAAAACCAAACTCAGTCAGTCATAGTGCAGTGGAGCAGTTATTGCTCTGTAAGGCCCCTGAACAGAAGTCTGAATGTTACTTGAAGAAAGGTTATTATGAAATATTCTAATATAAATATTGAAAAGAAGCACTCCAATAATTTTCAACTGAAGTTCATCCTGACCAGTAACACACAGGAGCATCTGCTTCAGGATGAACATTCGTTTACCATACATTTTAATTTCACTTTGTTTCAAGTTGAGTATGGTCTTCAAAATCATTGTTACTTTTGCATGTGAGGCTCATTCTATGCCTCATGGCTTTAAACCAGGCCTCATGGCCTCCAGTCAGCCCCTCAAACCACAAATATTTGTGACTTATCCTAAAAATCGATTTAAAGCAAGCATTCGGCATGTATCAGATGAAACTGATACGGAAGATCGATTCCAACAACTCCAATGAAAGCAGGAGATTGCTTCCGTTATCTTTCCCCTTTGAAATACTTCAACAATTGAATGAGTGAGTGAAAAAAAGAGGTTTCAAGCCGCTCTTAGCAATATTTCAGCAATATCACCAGATATTGGCTTTACACATTTTGCCCAGTGGGAATCAAACCTATGTCTTCTGCATTAAAAGTGAATGCTTTAACCAACACGCTACCCCCCAATAAACAAACGTCAATTCTCGTAAGTCAGTGCCACATTGCACATGCTAGGGGTAACTTAAAAAATAGAAAATAGCCTTGGAATCGGCACTACATCTGTTTTCAAGCGACAAAAGTTTCACAAGTCTTACCAGAATGGGGATGAGGTCATCTGAGGTCAAACAGGCATCTACAACAAACATCAAGTGATGCAGTGAGTGAGTGAGTGAGTGATAGTTTTACAGTGCACTCAGCAATATTCCAGCTATATGGCGGCGGACTGTAAATAATAGAGTCTGGACCAGACAATACAGTGATCAACAGCATGAGCATCTGGGAACCGATGACATGTGTCAACCAAGCCAGCGAGCCTGACAACGATCCCATTAGTCGCCTCTAACGACAAGCATGAGTTACTGAAGGGTCATTCTAAGTTCTAACCTGGATCTTCACGGGTTAACGTAGTCAGTGATTCAAGATAAGTGAAAGTAGAGTGAGTGAGTGAGTTTAGTTTCAAGCCGCTTTTAGCAATATTTCAGCAATATCACGGAGGGGAACACCAGAAATGGGCTTCAGACATTGTACCCATGTGGGGAATCGAACCCGGGTCTTCGGCGACGAGCGAACACTTTAACCACTAGACTACCCCACGGCCCCGGTGAAAGTAGAGACGTAATGATATGGTGAGGCTGGGAAACAATATCTCGATAATCGTGGTGATAAGATTTGCATCCCAATACACTACTTAAATTTCTCCCTTTCCCCATACTGCTGGTGATTTAACACCCTCAATCCTGTGCTTTCTTTTAGTGGGGAGCTTTTAGCAATATTTCAGCAATATCACGGAGGGGAACACCAGAAATGGGCTTCAGACATTGTACCCATGTGGGGAATCGAACCCGGGTCTTCGTCGTGACGAGCGAACACTTTAACCACTAGACTACCCCACCGCCCCGGTGAAAGTAGAGACGTAATGATATGGTGAGGCTGGGAAACAATATCTCGATAATCGTGGTGATACGATTTGCATCCCAATACACTACTTAAATTTCTCCCTTTCCCCCATACTGCTGGTGATTTAACACCCTCAATCCTGTGCTTTCTTTTAGTGGGGAGTGAGTGAGTTCAGTTCTACGCCACTTTCAGCAATATTCCAGCAATATCATGGCAGGAGGCACCAGAAATGGGCTTCACATATTGTACCCATGTGGGAATCGAACCCGGGAAATACTAGAGAATCTGCATAAACTGGTTCTGTTATTATCCAGTGATTGGTATCCTGAGTATGTGAATCTGACCTCCCTGTCCTTCCAGTCGCCTCTAACAACAAGCATTACTCAACACAAGTCCAATTCCAACCGGGATCTTCACAGGATTACAAGAAGGTAAACAAATAGTTTGGACAGTGCCCGAAACCTGGATTCTTTCAAGTAACAGTTTGAATGGAAATAAAACTAAAATGAATTCCATATCATTTCTTCTTTCTCCTTGAGTAAGTTGAATGGTACATACCCCCACTTGAAGACTGTCCTTGTAGGTTCGGCTGCTGGTTTTCTCTCACAAATGCATTCAACCCTTCTGTCACATTGTCCTGAAACAAATCAACAGTGTCATTCAACCCTTCTGTCACATTGTCCTGAAACAATCCACACTAACATTTAGCCCTTCTGTCACATTGTCCAGAAACAATCCACACTAACATTCAACCCTTCTGTCACATTGTCCTGAAACAAATCAACAGTGTCATTCAACCCTTGTCTCACATTGTCCTGAAACAACAAACGCTGACGTTAACCCTTGCCTCAACCCTTAACCAGTGTTTGCCCTAACCCTGAAAAGCTGCAGGCCCTAAGGACTCAGAACCATAAAAAGTTGTGGGTCCGGATCAAAATGTGTACACCCTATGTTTTACCTACAATTATAAGTAATTCCCAGCAAACAAAAAATGTGACAACTAACAAACTGAGTTAAAGAAATTTAAACTAGTAATTTCTGAATGAAATTTTTTGAATACTCTTAGTTATTGAGGATGAAGAAGCTACATTTGAGAAGCTAAATAATTTTGGCTACCAACCACTGCTGACTTGAGACACAGCTGTTTAGCTCTGGGGGTGGTCAGTCCATCCAGGTTAGCCAGTTCAACCACCTGCAACACATAAACACTGCATCATGACAACACCTGCAACACATAAACACCTGCATCATGACAACACCTCTATCATGACAACACCGGCATCACATAAACACTTGCATCATGATAACACCTGCAACAGATGAACACCTGCATCATGACAACACCTGCAGCAGAAAAACACCTGCATCACGACAACACCTGCAACAGATAAACACCTACATCATGACAACACCTGCAACACAAACACACCTGCATCATGACAACACCTGTATCATGACAACACCAACACATAAACACCTGCATCATGACAACACCTGCAACAGATAAACACCTGCATCATGACAACACCTGCAACAGATAAACACCTGCATCATGACAACACCTGCATCACATAAACACCTGCACATTGACAACACCTGTATCATGACAACACCTGTATCAAAACAACACTGGCAACACATAACACCTACATCATGACAACACCTGCAACACATAAACACCTGCACATTGACAACACCTGCATCATGACAACACCTGCAACACATAAACACCTGTATCATGACAACATTTGCAACATGACAACACCTGCAACATCACAACACCTGCAACATGACAACACCTGCATCACAAGATTTACAGGATGTCTGGCAACAGGTAAATACAGTGAGACCCCGGATTCCTGGACCCCAAATATCCGGAAACCACGCATTCTGGTCAATTTTCATGGAAAAAACATCCTCTTGTAAACGTTATAGTGACTGTCTATAATGGATATGTGGTTTCCGATCCCAGACGGCAAATTTTACCAACCAACTATCTAAATCAACACAAATGTAACTCACTTATCCGAACGAAGCTTTGATCTACGGCTGACCGTGTGAAGTGTTAATCCAGATTAATGACCGATCAGCTGAATGATCAAAATGACCATGCTGTTTTGGAAGTTATTTTAAACCAGAAGTGTATGCTGGCTACCGTTTCAAAATCTAAGCCTGGATGACAGATATCCAGATATCTGGATTTTCAGTTATCCGGACGATTTACGCAGAAACGAATGTGTCAGGATATCTGGGGGCTCACTGTACTATAAAAAGAAATTCCAAACAAAACAATAGAGCAACAACAGTTTTTTAGCTATTAAAAGGATATTACAACACTGATACAGAATATTAAGATATTATAGCAATAATACTTTAGCTATGACAACAACTATATCACCCCCAAAGTCCCCCTACTTACAGCAGACGGAAGGGGGCATGAGAACTCCACTCGGACACCAAGGTGTTCTGGCGTGATTCCACTCAGTTTCTGACACTGCCGAGACAACAGTTGGTCATCAGCAGCAAACTCCTCACAGATGACCGGGAACACCTTCTGGTGGACGCTGCCCAGCACATAACTGGAACACCAAAACTCGAATCATTCATCCCAGATAGAACTGTATGCAAATACAGGTCCTCAGTGATAAATGAATATATTAAGGTATAACCACTGTGGTTCTTGTTAGGTCACACTTTCATTTTCAGTACACTAATATACTGAGTCAAAAAAGAAACTTCACATTCTTTCTTCAGGGCACTATAAAAGAACAAGAGATGGTAAGATGGTTAAATTGTTATTATTTCATTGCTGAGATCTGTGTGATGTACTCGATACACTGACAGTGCCATAATCAGTTCCATTAGGCTACACCGCCGTTCCAAAACATGGGTATACGGAATGTCAAGTCACAAGAATAAAAATGCGAAATTTCTCAGTTCAATATCGTGTATGGCCGCCCCGCGCATTCACCACTGCGAAACACAGTCTCCTCATCGACTACCTGATGCTTGTCAACACGTGGTTGGGGATCCTGCGCCAATGCTCTTGCAAGGCAGCGCCAAGTTCCTGCAAATTCTGAGGTTGGTTCCTAAGACCACGAAGCCTTCTCCCAAGTGCATCCCAAACATGCTCTATTGGATTAAGGTCAGGGGACCTCGATGGCCAGTCCATGACGTTGATTCCAGCGTTTTGAAGGAAATTTGGTGTCAACATCGCGGTATGAGGCCGAGCATTATCATGCTGGAAATGTAGACCTGGGCCATGAGCCGCCATGAAAGGAACGAGTTCAGGGGTGAGCACCTGGTCGCGATAAGCAGCAGCTGTGAGGTTTCCACGGATGACCAGAAAGAAAGCACCCCACACCATGCAACTTCCGCCCCCGAATCTGTCGACTTCCTGAACACAACATTGGGCATACCGTTCATGACGTCTTCTCCAGACTCTATGCCTGCCGTCCGTGAATCTGAGGGTAAACCTGGATTCATCACTAAAGACGACTCGATTCCAGTCTCTCTGGGTCCATCGGAGTTGACATTGGGCCCACAGCAGACGTTGACTTTGATGAAACGGTGTCAATATTGGCCCACGATATGGACGTTGAGAATGGAGATTGGCAGCCCGCAACCGATTTCGAATGGTCTGTGAGGACAATCGACCTCTAAACATCTCAGCCCTGCTTCGTGAAGCCGGCAGAAATCTGTCACGTAGGTGACGTAGGACGATTTGATGGTCTTCTGCTCGTGACGTCACACGTGAACGACCCGACCTTGGGCGATCAGAAGTGGTGCCAGTTTGTTGTAGACGACCTCGCAAGTCATACACAGTACGACGGCTGCATCCCATTGCTCTTGCGACGTCAATAACTGATCTTCCCGCTTGCAACATGCCATTGGCACGTTCATGTTGCACATATGACAATCGTGGCATTTCAAGTACCATTAGAACTGTGGTTTAAAAGTGTTTTTTTCAATTCTTGAGGCAAATGCAAACATGTGCATATGAAGAAAGCTTTGATGTGAAGATCACGTGATCGACTGCATGTGCAATACCTTATTTGGCACTAACGTCATTTGCACGACGAATGGATGGGTTTGAGTGGGTTTTGCTTACGTTTTTCTAGAGTCGAAAGATAGGGATCCCATTTCGGATACATAGATGTATTATCAGAGAAAAATTATTCATTATTTTTCAAATTACATTTTGTGAAGTTTCTTTTTTGATCCACACAACTAGTGCATGCTCAAGGTGCTGGTATTTTTTCCCTCGATCACTGGATGTCAATCTCAATGGCACATTGTATTATTAATCTCAACTCCCTGGGGAGTATACAACTCTTGCAGCCACTAGGCGCACAGAGTTATTGTGGCTTTCTCATCCTAATGAAGTACCCATTCCAACTGGGTGGGCTGGGACACATAGTCACAGTACTTTGTCCAATCATTAACTTTAAAATAGTTTTAAAATACAGTTTAAAACTGCGAAGTTTCTCACTTACAGATGTCTTGTTGTAAACTCGGAGTCTTTGTGTATATATTTATTGTCATCATTTTGTGTTGAAACGATGACCAAATAAGAATACACAAGCAGCAACCCTTCAACTTTGAGTGAGTTTAGTTTTACGCCACACTCAGCAATACTTCAGCTATATGGCGGCCCTTCAACTTTGACACGAGGGATTCTGACTCTTCTTTAGATTAGGAATGACTACAAGGGAGTAAGATTACTCTGCCATTCAACACACCTGCCCATCGATTCTACCTAAAATCACACAAAAGTACAGTTGGGGAAGATTTGTCTTTTCTGTGTTTTCCAGAACACATTTTCAAAGGTTTGACCGAATCCTTGTTTAAGCCATTGTTTCCAGCTGATCAAATAACAAAAGTTTCCACATGAAATCATTTTTACCTATACCTAGTTCAGAACATTTCACATAAAACGTGTACATTATGATACTTCACATATCAGTCAATCAAATTCCAAGTTTAATGCCACATGGGTGATAATCATTGTTACTGTCATCAGTGTTGTACCTACCTTTCTATTGAACCGGACAGAGCTTCTCTAAACTTGGGATCGGAGTATAATTTATGTTTGGTACATTTTGTGCAGTTCTGAAGAGAAACACAAAAATCCATATTTTACTTGTCCATTTTTAAACAGACATGACGTCACAACAATTCCAATAATCAAAGCATTCCTAATCTAACACCAGAAATGGGCTTCACACGTTGTACCCATGTGGGAAAAGAACCCGGGTCTTCGGTGCTACGAGCCTGGCTTAACCCCACTACCCCGAAAGAAAGATATGAAGGTCAAAGGTGATCACATGAATATTGTCAGTGAGCCTAGGGGCGGATACAGCTTTTTGTGAAAGGGGGGGGTCACAGTCTAAGGCTGTAACAATTCACTCGCATATTCGGTGAATCGAACCGTAGCCCTTCATGAATTCAATTCATTATTCGTGGTCACCAGAACTGAATATTAACGAATATTTACGATTTTTAAGGGGAGCATGTTTTACTTGAACCCTTTTGTCCTTTCCAAAGTGAGATATGCAAGAATGGAACATGTACTAGCATTGCAGTAGTGCAAGTCATGTTAGTTTGCCAAGACTGCACATGGTACTGTCGATTATAACTATTACATACCAAATTTGAGTGTCATGAGATCACTGGTTATTGCTGTGACAAATTAACACTGTCAACATGTCCGTTCCATACTGTACATCAATCACTTAACTACAATATTGTATTCGTGAATAATTATTCGTATTCGTTATCCGATATTCATGATACGCATCATGTTCGCCACATAGTGTATTCTAGGGGTGTCGCGATACGCGAATGTATCGATGCATCGATACATTTTTACTGACGATACGATACGCGATACATGCTTGCGCGTATCTATTCCTATTTTAAAACTTTATCAATTCAAATTTTTATGCTATATCCATCTCCTTCAAAGTCTTGATAGTAAAATTATACGAGACCGCTCCGATAAATAGATGTAGCTAGCTTTACTTAAAAAATAGGTTGGAAACTAACAGCTTTTGTGATTGGCTAGACTATTTTGATGGACCAATCAGCGAGCGCGTACGTGCCGGTAAGGTAACGCTATGAAAAGGTGCGAAAATTATGTATCGCGATACGTATCGTATCGTGACCTTAAAATCTTGATACGTATCGTATCATGAGATTGGTGTATCGTGACACCCCTAGTGTATTCATTGTACCCCTTTTCACAGGTCATATTATAAAATTTCATGACAAAAGGGGACCCGCCTATGGAGCCTGACTACCTGATCCCAATGCTGAAGACCATGTCTAACCAAGATCTTCACGGGTAGTAAAAGGTAGTCACACTAATCATCGGAGGTAAATCAGCCTCACCTCAATGGCATCAGCAGCCATGTTTTCCAGCCTTGAGGCAGCATCCTGCAAGTAGTTCTTCAACACCATATAGTTCTTGTTGAAACGGGAGATGCTATCGTCTAGCGATCTTAACACCTAGGCAGAAAGTTCTCGAATAAGTTGTGATATGTTGTATAATGGTCAATGTCTGCTGAAGATTTGGAAAGCTACTGATGAACATATATGTGTCATTTTTTTAAAATACATAATAGCAAGCAGTACATTTGCAGAAACACCAACAGAAAACAAAAGCTGATTAAAAGTAGGTGTTTTTCTATATTTGTCTTTCTTGTGAGAGAGTGGTTGCACTCAGTGAGTCAGTGAGTGAGTGAGTTATTATGCCGCTTTTAGCAATATTCCAGCAATATCATCGCAGGGGACCCCAGAAATGGGCTTCACACATTGTACCCATAAGGCGAATCAATCCTAGGGTCTTTGGTGTGACAAGAGAATGCTTCAAACCACCAGGCTAACCTACAGAGTATAAAAAGAGTTTTGGGAATGTGGCCTGTCCAAGGACTGGTTGTCCAAAACAGTGACCAGTCCTGAATAAACACAGCCAGTCCACAAAACTAAAACGAAAAAAAACAAGAAGACAAAGTCATCAATATCCCCCGCAATGGCAAAATACTCTTTATGAATATGTGTACTAGTTATGATTATGTTTTGGAGCGAATACAGCAAAGTGGAAGGAGAGTATTGAAAGGTTTTTAAGATCTGTTCCAGAAAGGAGTACTACCACCAAATTCAGATTCAGCCTAACCTGTTGCCATGGAAATGCAACAAGATGACATCCTCATAGTCACAGCCTAAGTCATGTTTCCATGAAAACCACAAAAAATAAAATTCATATCTGGGTCTAAACCCCAAAAGGCACATCTAGGGATCATGCTTGATATGTGTACCAAGTTTGATGAAGCTAGCATGTATAGTTTAGGAGATATGCTTCGGACAAAGTGTAACAGGCGCATGGGCGGACTGAATAAACGAACCTCGTTTCTATATCCCCTGCAACTTCGTTGGGGGATAATAAACAAATGTTGCTTTGATCACAATATTCTGAGAAATGTTCGTAACGTTTTAGTTTACCGCCATTAGACAAGTTTGCTGCAGCATGGTATCACTAAGAGTGATTGGTACAGCTGAATCTATTCAGCCAATAAGAAAGCGAACTTGTAAACAGCCAAAGGGAAGTAACTCTGTCACATCAATGAAAATGGTTTGCAACAAGAAAGAACATGAACAAGAAAGAAGACGAAGTTCAAAACAAGTTAAGTTTATTATTTTTTCAAATATTTCCCCTGATCAAAGGACAGCCTTACTTATTTAATAGACCATCCTTTACAAGAATAGACCGTCAAGGACAGTGGGACAGGCTATATTTTGTACACTGCTACCCTAGTTACAGTAAGCTTATTACTGCCACAGTCTAAAATGTTTATACCATCTACATAGATTATAATTACATCTGCGTGTACAAGGGACACAAGTCTGCACATCAAACTATAGTTCCTCAGACAACATGGCCACCCATTTCATGTGATATGAAATGACATTTTTAACATTTCTTTACTAGTTTTTGACATTGTTCCGTGAAAATTAACAATGGTAAACAACAAATACTATTTTTCCTTCTTGACAAACTTACCACAGTATATTCATCAAATGATTTCAGAAAGGCTTTGCACCTGAAAAGAAAAAAAAGATTTATCAGACTTTTGGCAATTGTCAGTTTCAAATAATTTGAAGCCTTCTCTGTTTATAGAGGCCATGAAACCGGAGATAACTCTACTACAATATTACGGGGTACAGAGGACAACACTTGATAAAGCATGTAGCCACTGCATCAATATGTGCAGCCGACGACTTATTTTGGGGTGGTTTGTTTTGTTCACAAAACCAATAAACAACATGAACAACAACAAAATTAGAACAAAAATCTGAAAGTAAGGATAATCATATTTGTGTTTCTTGATTTGTTAATTTGTATACTTACTCTACGAGAGACACCCTTGGTGTGTACAATTCTCCATTACTCTGCCCCTTTGAAGAATTCTTCGTCTAAGAAACAAAATACATAAAAATACTCAGCATCACTCAATAATATAACTAAAAACAACTAAAAGGGTTCCATGAAATCCTGAGACAGGGCTTTTACAAAGAATTATACAAGCTTAGATGTTCCTACTGTTTGGCACTCACTAGAACATAGTCCACAAACATTTCAGTTAAAGTTCAAGTAGAGTGAGTGAATGAGTTGGGTTTTACGCTGCTTTTAGCAATATTCCAGCAATATCATGGCGAAGTGACACCAGAAATGGCTTCACACATTGTACCAATGTGGGGAATTGAAACCGGCCTTCGGCGTGACGAAGGAATGCTTTAACCGCTAGGCTACCCCACAGCCCCAATTTCAAGTAGAAGTGTCATTTAACAATTATAGTCAGAAGCAATAAAGCAAATGTGTAACTCACATGGTAAATTGGGTCCAGAGGTCTCTCAATTACCAGGATTTTGTAATGCTTGTACTCCTGGAAATAGTACAACATAGTACAACATGCAAACAAACGATACAAAATATACATCGTGAATAGTTTCTGTTTATTACAGAAGAGAGTAATCCTTACTGACTGCGTAGAGTGTCGCACTCAGTAACATTACAGCTATATGTGGCGAGGACTTGTAAATAACTGAGCCTGGGGAATGGCAATCCAATTATACTTGGGGCGATGACCTACACCATCAGGTCATGATGACATGCAGTCAACCGAGTCATCGTGACCTAACACTTATTGTCCTAGAATCCCATGGAGGAGAATACAGTATACATGAGTTTTGGGTGTAAGTAGGATTATTAGACTGCTTATAGCAATATTCCAGCAATAGCAAGGTAGGCGACACCAGAAATGGGCTTCACATATTTTTCTAATGTGGGCAATCAAATCCAGGTGTTTGGCCTGACGAGCAAACACTTTAACCACTCGGCTACCCTAATATCCCTGATTTCTGTTAATTAAGTATAGATATTACCTTGTTGTATGCTAATTCTTCATTCAATATCTTCACAGTAATTGTTGCAGAGAAGCCTGGAAATAGCCACAAAAGCACCCAAAATTTGAACATGTTCAATGAAAAGATAATCATTTGCTTGCTTTTTTCACAGATTTTTTCCACAGCATTCGTTTGTTATTTTAAGAGTAATTCACACAGTTTACTAACATGAAAACTACCAAAATTTGTATACACTTATATAAACATGAAAAGGCTTTTTAGAACATTTCAAACAAACACTGTCAGAGTAAGGCACGAATCACCAGCACGCAAATCTTGTGATTTAACCCACTCAAAACATGGAGGTCCGACATCTTTAACTTTAACGGTTCAGGGATTGGGATAGAGAACTCTGACAGTGGGCCATTTTCAGGATTATTAGCCATTCTGAATTTAGAATGGGCCACTGCCCTTGTATCAATAGTAAACTTCAAAATTTTAATGGACCATTTTTTATTCTAATGTGCAAAATGGCCCGTGGCCCCTGCCTTTCCCAATGCCTGACCATTAGTACGTCTGGTGCAGTATTACCTTCCCCTGTCTGCAGGACTCCGCTTCCTTCCTCCAGCAGCACCGTCCTGCTGTGGGAGTTGATTGTCAGGTATTGCCTGCACAACACATACAGGCATCATCACCAGTGTGTTCATATAAGTCTAACATGACAATCAGTTTTTGCTGAGCTGAGCACTATGACCCTTCAAAACATCTGTTTTACTGACTGACTGACTGAGTTTGGTTTTACGCCGCTTTTAGCAATATTCCAGCAACATCACGGCAGGGGACACCAGAAATGGGCTTCACACATTGTGCCCATGTGGGGATTCGAACCCGGGTCTTCGGCGTGACGAGCCAACGCTTTAACCATTAGGCTACCCCACCGCCCCATACATTTGTTTTAAGTAAACTCTCCAGGTGGCAGAATGGGGATTCTTGCTGACTGATTAATTGGTTTATTGTTTAACGCCGCACTCAGCAATATTCCAGCTATATGGAGGCAGTCTGTAAATAATCGAGTCTGGACCAGACGATCCAGTGATCAACAGCATGAGCATCGATCTACGCAATTGGGATACAATGACATGTGTCAACCAAGCCAGTGAGCCTGACCACCCGATTCTGTTAGTTGCCTCTTACGACTAGCATGGGTTACTGAAGATCAATTCTAACCCGGACCTTCAGGGGTCGAAAACTATATGACCACACATACCCTCTGAAATATGGAGATGTCCTCAGGATGTGGGTTTCTGTTGAAACAAACATTAGTATCATCATTAGACATTTTATACAATACATTTGATCAATTATCTACATGGTTATTCCAAAATGGTTACTTAACATGCTCAACATACTTCACAAGTGTGTCGTGTTTATAGGTTTGCTTGATTTTTGCAAGCTGTTTGTTTTTTCTTTTTCTCATCAACCAAACACACCAAAGATGGAGCCATGACGCAAATTTAAAAAAAACACATTTTATGTAAAACATGTATAGATTTTTCTGTGGTCGGCTGACTCTGTGAACAGTAAAAACACTTAAGCATGATAAGAGTCTTGTACTTCTATTATTCTATTATCCTCCACATTTACACTATGTCAACAAACAGCTTGTCACAGCGTGTGCCCCTGGCATAAGAATGTAGGAGTCATCATAACTCCCTGGTGTCATGAGAGGAAGTCATGGACATGTTTTTGGGAGCCAGCTTCAGTTTGGAACTTTCATCAAGACATCAACTGTGACATCAACAAGGTAAGGCAGGTCAGGTATTTAATCATCACTCAGCAGTTAACTGGCAAACATTTAGGGCCTATTCAATTATGCCGGTTCCCAATAAAGCAGTTCAGCTGATCTTGGTGGCAAAATGGAGCAGCAGTTTTGGGAACCAAAAAATGATTAAAAATCAACTGAGAACTAGGAAAATATTATTTTTCGAAAACCCTGCAGTTTATATTGAAACCTATGACTGGGTTCTGAAACTGTAACTTGTATATATATTTTATTACTTGTAACAAACAAAAGTATAATTCACATAAAATGGAGCAGTTTTGGGAACCAAAAATGATTAAAAATCAACTGAGAACTAAAATTTACCCTAGTTTATTGAACATGACTATTTTATGTAACTTGTAAATATATAATTACTTGTAACAGTATAATTACATCTCTTTATGATTTGTTAATTAACTGATAAAATGAAAAACATATGCTGTCATCCAATTCGTTCCACATATACAGTAGCTGAGACATTTTTGGGGTATCCATTTTGAAACCGGATGGTGAAACCATCCACTCGTTTATAAAACTAGAAATTAGTTTCACTTTGAAACCATGTATCCGAAACTAGACACTCGTTTATAACAGGAGAAACCAGTTTCCAAAAGTTGAGATTTATCTGAACTAAGGACCCAGTAGCATTGCATCAACAATGGCTCAAGCTTCTAAATTCACTGCGTATTTGAGATGATTTGTGCATCAAATACGCAGGTTTTCTGTATGATGGCAGACACTGTTGTCATATATTACTGTGCTATTGAACAATATACGATCTGTGCCATCAAACCAACAACAGCACAACACTTACCCACAAACTTCTGGTTGATGGTTAATCCCTCCAGAGATGAGGAGAGAGGTACACAGATCAGATGACATTTTTCCTGGGCTCGTTCATACAGATCCAGGTATGTGGTCTGATAAATAAAAGGAATATGTTAGCAGCTCACTTAAGTATATGAGTGAGTGGGTATGGTTTTACGCCGCTTTTAGCAATATTCCAGCAATATCACGATGGGGCTTCACACATTTTACCCATGTGTGGAATCGAACCTGGGTCTTTGGCAGGTCGAACGCTTTAACCACATGACTACCCTACCGCTCCTTCGATACATGAACATACTCAATATTGATTTCTTGATTATTTGCTTGTTTTACGTTTAATGCTACACTCTGCAACATTCCAACTGTATGATATAGGTCTCAAATAAGTCTGAAGTAAACATTCCAGCGACTGAAATCAAGTGCATTGATCTAAGTAACTGGGACATGTGGGATATGATGGCATGCATCACCACTTCAGAAAGACTGTCTTCTCGATCCCTTTAGTCGTCTCTTAAGACAAGCATTGGTTGCTAAAGACCAATTTAAACACAGATCTTCATGAATCAATCTTGATCTTGAAACCACTCATTGACAACTTTGTGAAACATTTAGTTTTAAGGTCTAATCGACCCGTGAAGGTCCGGGTCAGAATATTGATCTTCAGTAACCCATTCTTGTCGCAATAGGCGACTAACGGGATCAGGTAGTCAGGCTCGCTGACTTGGTTGACACATGTCATCGGTTTCCAATTGCGCAGATCAATGCTCATGCTGTTGATCACTGGATTGTCTGATCCAGACCGCCGCCATATAGCTGAAATATTGCTGAACTAAACTCACTCACTCATTAAGGTCTAATCGCTGCCCATGTGCTTCATAATTTCTAATCTCCATAATCACATTTGTACTGTTTCTTATGGGTTATCAGGGGACTGGATTTCAATAAATCAACAAGTGCATTTGATACACATGCTGTTAATCGCCCTGTGATTAGTGAAGGGAGGTAACTCTCCTGCCCTTAGGTGATTAGCGTACCACTAAAACAACACCATTAAGAAGGATTGTAACACTACAACATTCCAATCAGTAGTCTAAGCACTCAGATGACTGTAAATTACAGCCATACCAGTATTATCACTAAGATCTCTTCATGGAACAGATTCCAGGGCTAACAATATAATGGATGCCTGGGCTGGGACAAGTAACTCCAGTTAAGTGTGTCTCGACAACATCTACCTGTAGCTGGTCATGTGTTACAATGTTAAATGCCAATAACCATAAAACTCCAAGGCATCACTTTAAGTCACACAAAAAGTTCCATTTCTTTCTTACATGTATATTTTCCAATTTTTCTATATTTGACAAGCTGTTCATCAGTGTCTATTCTAGAACTAAAAATCTAGGGATGATTTGTTCCCCCCCCTCCTCACATAAAAAGGAGGGGGGCAGAGCTCCAGATAAGATTTATCTCATGTGGGTACTGTACCCACTGCATTTTGTTGGAGTGGGTATTATGAATGTTGAGTGGGTATTTCATTTTCCGTTACCCACTGCTTTCAAATATGTGGGTATTTCAGTCATTTTACTCACCTAAGTATTATGTCATTGAGTAAGTTTACTAGCAGGTATGTTCTGCCTTATGTCATACCTAATCAAAACCAACGTAAATATAATGGAAATGATTTCATAAAAAATCACTCACCCATACTGACAGTACAACACTAGTCCTATACTAACAGTACAACTTGATAGCAATCAATGTCTTTTTCATTACACAAGCGACTTTTATAAATATATTCTGTACGCATTTGTTTTAAACTTTTTGCGTATCTAACATTTTAAATGCGTAACTGGTACGCAACAATTATTTTTCAATGCGTAAATGGAAATGTTCTATGCGTATTTTACCCGGATACGCAGCTTATCTGGGCCTCTGGGGGGGATTTGGAAAAAGTAGGGGGGAATACCAGTATCATTGTCTCTCTAAATAATGTACCTGTAACCTCATGTGAATAAAGAATAACAAACAATTTGAAGTTGTTGTTTTTTCTGTAATGATTGAAATGAGCGTGAACCACTTATTCCAAAAATTGAACTAGATTCCTTGAAATTCACATCTTTAAAACTTTATTTAATGCTTACAACTAATTTGAAATTGGTCCACATCCTGTCCACTCAAAGTCAAGTTCTTAACTTCTAACTCAGATTGTTACATATTGAAAGAAAATCTTTGAAAGTTCCTCCTTTGCTTTTTGGTTTTGAATTCCTCAAGAGCTTGCTGGCATCAAAGGTTGCAACAGGTGGGCCCTCAATACTTATTATCATCAACTCTCTGAGTACCTTCTCACTCAGTCTGTTTCTATGTGATGTTTTTATAATATTTTGACTTGAGAAACAACGTTCATAAATTGCTGTCTGGACTGGCAAAGTTATTCCAGTACAGGCAAGCTTCAGTAGGTTTGGGAAAAGGTCCTTGTGACAGCCATCAATGATTCTCCATAATTCATGGAATTTGTCTCTTGGATACTTACGCTGAATCAGGAGGCGTTTTAACATAAACAATGATCTTTCCTGTCACTGAAATGTCTGTGCTTTCATCTATCAAAATTGCTACACAATAAGCATCCTTTAAATCTCCAATTATTTGAGCCATGATTGTATTTGCAATTGCTTCCTGAATGTATTCAGCAAGAGGCCGTGACCTGTATGTGGCATTACCCCCAACGCTAAGATTTTTAACATTGGACCATACTTTTCAATAGCAATGTTTTCCTTGCAAAGCCAATATACTGTGTCAGACTTAACAGCTAATTCCTCATTGGATACTAAATTAGACACAGATGCCTCTATTGTGGTTTGCGACTTCGTTATAGGTATTAGGGAAAGCTGGTGGTCACGGGTTTGGGCATGTCTAGTTAGTGTGGATGTACGAAAGTTATCACCAGTAAAACTATTGCTCATTTTATTTTTGTTATTAGTAACATAACATCGCACCAAGCTCATTTTGAGGGAGCCATGGTCATTCTTTCAACCATTTTATCTGAGGTGAGGTGAAATTGGGTTTAATGTCACGCTGGAGAATATTTCGCTCATATGACGACGTGCATGTGTGTGTATGTCCAGCTGCTTGTACTAGCCCAGTGAGTGAGTGAGTGAGTGAGTTTAGTTTTACGCCGCACTCAGCAATATTCCAGCTATATGGCGGCGGTCTGTAAATAATCGAGTCTTGACCAGACAATCCAGTGATCAACAGCATGAGCATCGATCTGCGCAATTGGGAACCGATGACATGTGTCAACCAAGTCAGCGAACTGACCACCCGATCCCGTTAGTCGCCTCTTACGACAAGATAGTCGCTTTTTATGGCAAGCACATGGGTTGCTGAAGACCTATTCTACCCCGGATCTTCACGGGGGTCTGTACTAGCCCAGACTTCAGCTGGTATTATAGTGCTAGCCCACTGAGATACAATGCCACAGTGAAGCATGAATACCCCACTCAGACACATTATACTGACTCCGAGGCGACCAGTCCTTGTTGTACCCATTAATGCCGAGCGCCAGGCAGGGACCAACAAGTACCATATGTTAACGTCTTTTGGTATGACGCGGTCGGGGATCGAACCCGCAACCTTCCACTCTCCGGGCGGACGCTCTAACCACTACACCACGGAGGTGGTCCATTTTATCTGAAAAACACTTGGTTTAATCTCGCAGGGACCCGGGTCGGTCTCAGGGTTTTGCTCGCCCTCCTTTTCACACTTCCCTGTAACAGACGTATCGGTCTGGGAAGACGTGGCTGTCATGTTCTCAATGGTATTTTGTGCAAAAAAGTCAGTTATTTATTAACATACGCGACATTATTCACGCCAAATTACCACAAACCGTTAAAAAAAATTTCTACATTTGTCGTCTGCATTACTTCAAGTGATAATATTATTCATTTTGATTTCAAAAACGAAACTAAAACAAACCGATTTTCTTTAAAACATCAAGGAAACTGTGTATTGAAAGCAATATACAATCGGCAATGTGTTTAGAGTTTTTAGTCTAAGGTTTTCAATCAAGTAATTAATAAAATCATAATTTTATTGAAAAGTTTTATCTGTTTGCATACTGAAGTGAATGGTATTTCGTTTCCCCAGTGCCGTTAGTGGATTTAACCAAGGGAGGTTACTCTGCCGTGTATTCCTGTTGCTATCGATCAAACTAGACTCTGTGTCCAACTCTGATTTACAAAAATCATTTTCTGTCAATATAAAGTTTTTACGTACAGTTTTTGAAAGGTATGTAGGGATAAAATTAATATGCGCGACAGTTCACGCTGTGCTGTTTTTATGAGGGGCGATTTGATAATTCTCAGCACGAATCGCGCAATCGCAGGTCCTAGAATAGAGACTGTGTTCATGTACCCATCTTACAGATGCATCTACATAGATTTTGTTAGGGTTCTGGTAAAACAATTCATTACTAGACATTTTGAACCAATTCATTACTAGACATTTTGAACCAAACTTTTGATTGCAAAATCAAGATCACATAAACCAAAAGGACTGACACAAGTAAGCAAGCAGGTGAAACTGACACTAACTGCATCCCTCAGTTAACCTTAACGATCTTAAAGGGTGGTTTAACCCTTAAAGGGACATCTCTGGATCATAAAGGGGTGTTTGAACGGAAAGGGGATCCAAGGGCTAAGCCGGAGTCCCGAGTTGAGGGTAACCTAATCTAACACAACTAACAGCGAGGATTAAAAAGGCACGTAAGACGTTTGATGTGATAGCGGATATCTGAGCTAACTAAAAAGCAGCACCTGATAAACTGCATTGTCATATGCACTAAGTCACTTTTAATGAACGGAAGTTTAAAATTTTCCTGTTAAAATTGTGACCCATCTTTATTCCATTTTGAGTGAAAACAGTCATATCTTCTATTACATAGATCTACTAACGATATGTAAAACGTTACAGAATAGGTTTGGGAAAGGAAAACATACGCAATAAATGACACTCAGAGAGGCAACATTACGACTGTTATCACTATTTCGAACACTACTCAGTGACAAATTGACAGTGACACTGACAGGGCATGATAATGCAAAACTTTCTTCCATACGACAGAACATTCAAAACAATTCGTTGGCCCCTTAAGCAACATGAATGGAACTTGGTGTTTCATGAGACGGGCATGAGACTGAACTAACATTCACTTCGAGAATAAATTCTTACCTGTAGTGCTAGGAAAAAAGGATTGTTGTCGAGTTCATCGTCGTCACAAGACATTTTCTGCTCGTGAAGTTTCACGGCCTTTGCCTTGCTAATGTGTTCCACATTCGCAACAACAACCTACACATAATTTTAAATGCCTGTTGGATTTTATGTGAATACTCATTGACACTATAATTAGTTATTTGTTGTGTGAGTATTATTTGTTGATATAAACAAATTGTTTTGGTCAGAATATTCGCACTTCGCTTTTAGAAAGTAACTATGTTCAGGTAGAGCATAAGTTGTGAAGCATATAGTATAAAAATTAGTCTCCAAACTAAAACGTTTTGTGTGATACAAATGCAATATTGAAGTTATAAACCTCTTAAAATACCGTTTTCCATATATCTTTTCAATTTATGGAGAGCAATTGATTATGTATTGAGAGATACCATAAAGTAACGGCTGGGTATTTTTAGAGAGTTTTCAAAATGGCTGCCGTTTTGTGAAAAGTCAGTGTAGTTGTTATTTTTCTTCAGTAAAGTATATATAATGAAACGCTGAAATCCTGCGTTTACGTTTCATCAACGAATTGTGATGAGAATTATGTTTAAAACGCCCATAATCGATTTTTACCCAAAGCGACAGTGTTTTTGATTTTATTAATTGATGATCTTTGTGGTGTTTAGTGTAGATTCAATCTGCAACTTTTCAACCCAAAAGTGCACCTTTCTGTGAATTTTGCTGACAGTAAAAGCAGATTTTGAAGTAGCCATGAATTGACATTTAATTTTGTTGTATGTATAGACATATGCAAATATATCTTTTGTTTTCTTTCATGTCACTATGTTTCATTCAGATGAAATGTTCAGCAAGATTAGGATGGAAGTTTTAAAGTGTCTCTTTGCTGGTCACAGTAAAGCAACACATTTTCATAATAGCTCACACTTTTCAATTTTCGTGTTGTAGGAACAGACAAGAATGGTTAGCTTAAGAATATGTGCTTTTTGGATTGTGAATTCTGTTTTACAAGCAGACTTTTCTAAATTGAATGTTATGCCTCACGATGAGGGCATCAGATTATACTACAAAATGTCTTGATCTTCAAATTACAGAAGTTTACATCCTTTTCATCTGTGTATCACTTCTAAATGCCATTCAAAAACATTATATTTCATATTTGCAGGTGTTTTTACAACAAGAAGAAAATGTGAATATCCTTCCAGCATGAAGTTATCAAATTTATGATTTGATTGTCATAAAAACCATAGATATGGCGACCAAACGGCCAGCAGATGATTCATCTGGGTCAGCTGGACCTGCTGCCAAGAAAGCTCTTACCAGAATTGAACCTCTCAAGATTGGTCCAATATCAAATCTGGTATGATAATGTTGTGAATTTTATAACATCCATGATTATATTGTGCCAGATCCACACCCTAAAAATGCTCAAAGTGCTGTATTATTACCTTGTCGATAGAGTTTTGGATTTGATCTGAATAAATATCACTATGGTCAGACAAAAGTGTCTGTGAAAGTAACAAGCCATCCTTACAAAATATGGAGCCATCAAATGGACAGTCATAAATTTGTTTTGTGTCAGTATATGGTCATGATAATATATTTGATAAATACTGAGACTTTCGAAACATGCCATCTGTGTGATTAAAGACATTTGGAAGAAAAGCAGTCTTTTTAATTAAGAAATACAGTTTGCTCTACCACCATGTATAGTGTAATAAAGCACACTTTCGCCCTAATCTATTATAACGTTAAAGCACTCGGAAGCAAGCGTCCTCGTGCTTTAACTATAATAGTTCAGGGCGAGAGTGTGCTTTATTACGCTATACATGGTGGTAGAACGAACTGTAGTTCTTTTCTAAGATGCCAAATTTAATACTTTCTAAGGATAATTACGATTAATCTAAGGCAGAAAACAGACGACGGTGTCGGTGACCTAAATTAAGAATCCTGGCACAGGGCTAACTGGCGCACTGTTCTATTGATGTGTCTGCCCCCCTACGTTAAGATGAATGTTTCCAGAAAAACAAATGATAAACAGTTTGATGACGGTTTACGATTAAATATCTTCTCTAAATGGGGCAGGGGGGTAGCCTAGTGGTTAAAGCGTTGGCTCGTCACGCCGAAGACCCGGGTTCGAATCCCCATAAGGGTACAATGTGTGAAGCCCATTTCTGGTGTCCCCCCTTTCTGGTGTCAGTCTTCTTTAAATTACATCTACATTCTAATTACATCTGTGATTAACGTGTAGACCATCTGGGGCAATATGAATGTCTCATTTCTACTACCATCGTGTGTTTAGATCAGTAAATCCAGATGAAGCTGAGTAGTCAAGCGACATTCCACGATTGCATTGTGGGAATGTAAACATTGCGAACGTTACCGTGTAGCTGAAAACTTGAGTCGAATTGAGACATTTTAACAGTCGGAAAACATAAACAAAATGAATCCACCAGTGATGCTATCTGTGTGAAGCAACTGCGAACCAAGAAACGGGATGCAACAGAGTAGTTTACTGTAGGAGGCTGTATGAGGCGATGACAACTGACGTCGCTTACATTGTGACATAATGTAAAAGTGTTCGACTACGAGGGGGCAGACTAGAATGGCGCAGTGACACCAATACATTGTGACGTAATGTAAAAAGTGCACATTATCGTGTGATAAAGTACTGTCAGCACCTTTGGTCTTTCATTGAAACATCTTAGAATATATGTTTTTGCCTAGAAAATAATACGTCTCAGAATCTAATTGTAATCAAATCATCATGACAATTTGGCTGTATTTTGAACTTGTGCAGTCATCATAGATGCATTATGTGGTTTTGTTTGTTTAGAAAGTACAATTTGTATGGCAAACTTACTCAAATTACTGAAACAGTGTTGATGCAAGTGGAATTGTTTTTCAGGAGGAACTAGATCTCAAAGTTTTAGTTTTTCAAAACAAGAAGTTAGCTGAAAGAATTGAACAACGTAAGCGTGCAGAAAGTGAACTACACAAAAGAATTGAACAGCTAGAAAACCGACAACGTACTGATGATGCTGTACTTATGATAGTTAACAGATACTGGAATCAGGTGAGATTTATTATAAAGTGTTATCATGTTTATGTACAAGCAGTGTTCCAAACTACAGTTATAACTAACTCAAAGGGACCACTCAAGTTTTGTACATTTTAAATATTCATGGTTTGTTTTATGCACTTTGACTAAAAAATGCAGCAATTGATCATTACCAAATAAACAGTTATGTCTGTCAGTTCATAATAAGCATGTTCATTATAGACATATAAGCATACTGTAAGTGTATTCATTCTCAAGTGTATTCCTTCTCAGAGGGAAGCTATTTCTTAGGGGCCCTTGAAGAACCAGGTTAGAATTGGTCTTCAGCAACCCATGCTTGTCGTAAGAGGCGACTAAAGGAATTGGGAGGTCACTTCCTTGTCACTTGTCATTTTATCCCAATGTGTAGATTGGTGCTCATGATGTTGATCACTGGATTGACTCAATTGTTTACAGACCACATCCATATACCTTGAATATTGCTGAGTGAAGTGTTATACAACAAACATTCTTTTTTATATATTCCTCCTTGGGGTACTTATAAGCATTTAAATGTCCATTTAAAATCCCTACGACAGTTGTAACAATATTTGAATAAAAATATTTACAAAACAAAAACTACGTTTTGTCTTGTGAGACCACCCTTACAGGGCCCTCCGGCCCCCTACAGCCAAGGTAACTCTAGACAGTAACCTCGTACCTCACTTTCCATGCTGAATGACGTCAGACAGAATGTGGGCAGGTGGGCGGGCGTACCCCAAGGAGGAATATATTCTAAGAATCTGAAACCTCTACAGGTTAGTTCGATTCTTTTTTACATATTCCTCCTTGGGGTACTTATAAGCATAAGACAGACTCCTAAAGACGGAGCTAAGGAGTGGCATTCTGTCTGCAGAAACACCCCCGACAAGAAGTGGAATTTCCCAAGCTAAATATAGCAGAAAAAGCTCACTTACCCGGTCACGTGTCCACCATAGCCAATCAGGCGGGGGCATGAGCCAGGGTCAGGGTCGAACATATTATAATTTGTGAGACCACCCTTACAGGGCCCTCCGGCCCCCTACAGCCAAGAGCAGGTAACTCTAGACCGTAACCTCGTACCTCACTTTCCATGTTGTCGTTTACTGGCAAGACGTGGGTCCACTTCCAAGAAGGTTTAATTTCCCAACACGAATTATGAGTGTCTCAGAAACAGCAACTGTATGTATGGTTCTCTTTTTTCCCTGCATGGGCGATTTGGAGACTTGTTCTGAACTTTTTCATTCATAATTTCTAGTTGTAACTTGGTACCTGTCGCGGTCGGCTCGCCGAGTGCGTGTCAAGATGGCGGACAGGTCCCTTCGCTAGCCTCACTGTTCATTGGCTTCCCATGTGGTTTTTCAATGTTACGTGTGGTTATAGTAATTTTTATTTATATGTTGTTACATGTAGGGCGTTGTTCCTCTGCTGGCATTTTCTATCTTACGCTAAAAGTCGTAATTGTTAGTTATGTTCCAGTGCGTATTGCTTGTTATTGCCAACTGTATGCTACGTTGTCACATTAGTTGTGTTGCCCATGCATGTTTTTTCATATATGTATGTATGGGTAGATTGCTGCACAGGTTTTTTACTTGTTGCAGTTTAAATCCTGTACTTCGTGCCTCGCTGCCTTTCCCGTGCGGGATACGCACGAGGTATGTTTGAGATGTCTCATGCAGACTGATCATGAAGAAGAGGGGTGTCCGGCGTGTGAGATTTTCACGCCTAAGTCCAGGCGGGTGGACAAGCTGTTTAACAGCAACCTGCTTTGGGCGGGGGGTGATATCTGGGCTCAGGATCCCCCGTCCAAACGTTCACACAGTAAAAAAAAGGGGTCTGGGGGAGCCGCTTCCCATACGGAACCGGCTCCCAAAAGGGCTAAGGTTACCAAGGAGGCTTTGGGCTCCCGTGGGAGGCTTTCGCACCTAGCCGGGTCGCCGATGCACGCCTCCGCATTCTGCTTGCGCCGCCTGTGGTTGTCCGTGGAGCGGTATTCGCCGGCCACGCAACAGGCGCTCCTGTCTTTGCCTTATACCATGGGGTCCTCCCTGTTCCCTGGGGCATTGCAGGTTGTACGGGAGGCCGCGGAGGCCGTGTCTACCTTCAAAGACTCTAAGCCTTTATTGGAGCAGCCCTCCGCTCCTAGCCAACGGCCTTCCCCGCTCGCTTCCGCTTATCCTTTTGTCCCGGCAAAGGAATCTGCAAAGTGGACTGCCCTTTTGCAGTCCAAGAGGAGCAAGCGCGCAAGAGGCAAGGGCAGACCTGCTCAGTCGCAGCAGCCTTTTCGGGGCAGGGGAAGCCAGCCCAGGCTTCCCGCTGATTCCTTCCCCAAAGCCCTTATTGCCCCCCACTCACGCAAGCGGAGACTTGCCGACTGTGGGGGTGCACTGCCTCATGCCACGTCCCTGTCGTTGGCCGGTTGTCCCTATTCCTTCGGGAGTGGGAGGCAGCCACCACAAATCCCTGGGTCCTGTCCACGCTCAGGGATGGCCATTTGCCACAGTGGAGGCGAGATCCTCCGTCCTTCTCCGGGGTTCGGCACACTCCTGTGCCGACTTCCCGAGACAAGGCGGACATGCTCCGTGCCGAGGTTCAGTCCTTACTGAACAAGGCAGCCATCGAGGTGGTTCCTGTGGGTCAGCAAGGAGAGGGGTTTTACTCCACCTACTTCCTAGTGAACAAAAAGGACGGAGGGTTCAGACCCATTCTGAATCTCAGAGGGATGAACAAGTTACTGGAGGTGCCGTCTTTCAGGAATCAGACACTCAGATCAGTGATCTCCTCCGTCGAGACAGGGGATTGGCTTACGTCAATCGATCTCAAAGACGCATACCTCCATGTTCCAATGCACCCCGAGTTCAAGAAGTACCTCCGGTTCTCCTTCGACGGGACGTGCTACCAGTTTCGTGTGCTCCCCTTCAGCATCTCCATGGCGCCAAGGGTGTTCACCAAACTTATGCTAATCCCAGCTCAGTTAGCCAGGTCTCAGGGCAGGTGTTGTTACCCGTGCCTGGATGATTGGCTTCTCAGGGCCTTAGGTCCTCAGTTAAGCAGAGCCTCCACACTGTGCGTGATGGATACTCTGGTGTCACTGGGCTGGATTATCAACCTCAAGAAATCAGACCTCGTTCCGATGCAGGATCTAATATTCTTGGGGGCCAGATTCAACACGGAGCTAGGGATTGTTGTCCTGGGCGAACGCTCAGTCTGCGGCCTCTGGTCGGAGCGGGAAGTCAATCAATGTGTTAGAACTGAGAGCAGTCCGCAGGGTGTTCGAGAGCTTCAGGGTGTTTGTTCAAGGCCGTGTGGTTCGTCTAGAAATGGACAATCAAACGGCCATGTCTTACATTCTCAAGCAAGGCGGCACAGTGTCTCCGTCGCTCCTTCAGGAGGCGTGGCAGTTTCTACTGTGGTGCGATCAGTTCAACATTCGGGTTTTGCCTGTTTATCTCCCGGGGGTAGACAACGTCCGTGCAGATGCACTCTCACGGCGTATACTAGCCCCACACGAGTGGATGCTCGACCGGGAGATATTCGGGATTATCTCCCAGTTGTTCAGGTCGTTCCAGGTGGATCTGTTTGCGTCTGGGGTGACGAACCAGATTCCTGTGTTTTGCTCTCGGATTCCGGTTTCGAGGGCTCTAGCCAACGACGCCTTTCAGCTCGATTGGACGGACAGGGTACTGTGTTCGTTCCCCCCGATACCACTGATTTCCAGGGTCCTGTCGCAGCTGACCGCACAACCAGCTTGGCTACTTGTGCTTCTGGCACCCTTTGGTCGGCACAAAGTTGGTTTCCGGTAATTTCAGGTTTCTGGCTCAGCCTCCTGTTCTATTACCTTTTCGACCGGACCTCCTATCCCAGAACGGAGCTTCCCACCCCAATCCCAGGATTCAGTGGGTGGCTTGGCCGCTGTCAGGGATCGCCTCCGCGGCGAGTGGAATTCCTGCACCAGTTGCAGACACAATTCTGGCTTCATGGAGGGATTCGGCAAGCCGCTCAATATGAGGATAGATGGGCCTGTTATTCGCGCTGGTGTGTCAACAGGGGGATTCTTGATCTCTTTTCAACAGATTTAGTCTCTGTTTTAGAATTCCTCCAGTCTCGGTTGGACGCCGGTCTAGCAGCATCAACTGTTCGACGATATTCTACGGCTATTTCTGCGTTTCATATTCCTGTTGACGGTGCTCTCTTGGGGCAGCACCCTCTTGTACAGCGTTTTTTAGCAGGCGTGGACAGAGTCCGTCCGGTTGTCCGGCGGATTAGTCCCCCGTGGGACTTGTCAATCGTTCTTGATTGGCTGTCCGGTCCACTGTTTCACAATCTGTCGGCTCTTTCACTCCAGCTTGTGACGTGGAAGACGGCGTTTCTTGTGGCGGTGACTTCAGGCTAGCCGGTTTGGCGATATTCACGCAATGTCAGCCGATCCCGCGCTTACTGTTTTTCACAAAGACAGAGTTAGCATACGGCTGCCTGATACTTACCGTCCTAAGAAGGATAGTCCCTTCCATGTGACGGTGCCTATTGAGCTCCCAGCTTTCATTCAGCCTTCCCTGCCCGGTACCTCTCTACGACGTGCTCACGTCTTAGATGTCCGTAAGACACTTAAGGCTTATATCAAACGAACAAAGGGTACCCGTAAGGATAACCAATTGTTTTGTTGTTATGGCGGGGTTCAGACTGGTCTTCCGGCGACCAAGCAAACCATTTCTCGGTGGCTTGTCTCTGCCATACATATGAGCTATACTCAAACAGGGCATATACCGCCTGTAGGGTTGAAAGCTCATTTGGTTAGGGCAGTTGCCACTTCGAAAGCTTACGCTGCAGCCCTGCCCATTGAGGAGATCTGCTCCGCGGCTATTTGGAGCCGTCCGAGTATCGCTTCATCCGTCATTACCAACTTGACAGACTCTCCAGTGAGCGTGCTCGGTTCGGTCAGTCAGTTCTCTCCAGTGGGCATGGTTCCACCTCTCTAGCCGATTGAGCTTTCGAGGATTTTATTATGTGAACCATTATATGCCAATTTTAACACTGGTGTTGGGTTTTAAAAAATCTTGTTTACATATCCCCTTGGTGACGGGTTTTATGTGGTGATGGTTTTTTATTCCCATGTCTTTTGCATTCTGCTCTAGACTTACTGGCCTTGGAAACTTTGCTTAATATATATATATTAAGGCATTTCGTTTCTGGCGGCTTATTGCGGGACCCTTATCTTCGCTTCCGAGTAGATTACGGGAGGGAGGGTTTATCTCGTTTGTTTGCTTTAGCGAGGTTTCGTTGGCAAATTATAATATGTTGTATCATTGTGTTTCTGCAGACAGAATGCCACTCCTTAGCTCCGTCTTTAGGAGTTTGTCTTATGCTTATAGGAGTACCCCAAGGAGGAATATGTAAAAAAGAATCGAACTAACGTGTAGAGGTTTCAGATTCTTTGAATATATTCCTCCTTGGGGTACGCCTACCTGCCCACATTCTGTCTGACGTCGTTCAGCATGGAAAGTGAGGTACGAGGTTACTGTCTAGAGTTACCTGCTCTTGGCTGTAGGGGGCCGGAGGGCCCTGTAAGGGTGGTCTCACAAGACAAAACGTAGTTTTTGTTTTGTAAATATTTTTATTCAAATATTGTTACAACTGTCGTAGGGATTTTAAATGGACGTTTAAATGCTTATAAGTACCCCAAGGAGGAATATATTCAAAGAATCTGAAACCTCTACAGGTTAGTTCGAATTTCTTGGGGTGTCCAGTATCTGTCTCAGTCTTGTGTTCAGTATCCTCGGTGATCAGGCTCAATGGCCAGGGTTGTTGCTCAGTATATTGTTCACTTGATGTAAGAGGCAACTAGTGGGATCGGGTGTTCAGGCTTGCCGACTTGGTTGACACCTGTCATTGTATCCCAACTGCATTGATCAATGCTGATGATGTTAGTCACTGGAATGTCTGGTCCAATTCAATTATTTACAGACCGCTGCCATATAGCTGGAATATTTCTGAGTGTAGCGTAAAACTAAATTCACTCACTCACTCACTATTCACTTGGTGGTCTTGTTTAAACTTGACTGATTCCAGGCCACTGTTATAATGTTTGAATATTGCTGACTGTGGCATTTAACATTAAACTGCTGTTCCTAATTAAATGTTTCTACGGTGTTAACATTTTTAACGTGACGATTCCCCATACATATGTTTTCAGCTTGATGAAGATGCACGTGTGTTGCTGCAGAGATTTGATGCTGAAACAGCTGATGAAAATGAAACCAAAAGTATGAACACATTTATAAAATCAGGGTTTTACCATTACTATCAAAATGATCACGTTTTACAGCTCCTTGCTGGTAGTATGAGGGCCCTATAAAGTACTGAAACGGTGTAGTGTAGTGTACGTTCAGATAATTACCTTAGATAATACCTTAGATAATTACCTGGAATGAATCAGCAATTATGATAACTGCTTGGTGAAGTAAAAGACACAGACAACTACTCTTGATATGCTGTAGGTGTGCTTTGGGTATTTAGTTAATCTGTTTTAGATTTAATTACTAGTTTTAAATTTGAATCTGGGATAATTTAGTTATTTTACTGTCCTTCGTTGACAGGTTTTTACAATTTACCATTAATTACTATGTATAAAATTAATTGTTCTCAATACGATATGGCTGCAATATTGCCGATGTGACGTTAAATTTTAACGCACTCACTCACTTTGGGTATTTTACGGTATTTGGCAATTGTGCATCACATAAAACCCTGATAAAATATTTTTTAACTCTCACAGTTTCAGGAGAAGACATGACAATTGATCATTTAGTACATTATGCAAGCTTGGACATACATTAAATGTGTTACTGACATCAGGAGTATTCATAATTTGGTTACAGTTTGTACACAGGGATACAATGGTGTAACTAAAATAATGGTCAGTACAAGCCATGCAGTCCAGCAGTACATGTTGACTGACCACTGTCTGTAACTATTTTATATAAGGCGGCAATAGTTTCATCATCATTGCCTAATCTTGATTTCATAGAATCATTTTAGCTGATCTTTACAACTTTGGTTTGACTTAAATTTCTTGCAGTTACTGCATCCCTTCAACTGTTTGCTGTTTAATATCAGTTTTGATTACCCATAATGTTAGAAATATTTGACTTCATAACAACTGTATATGTACAAATTCAAATCAGAATGACATACTTGAAACAATGCCATAGCTGAAGATGTTGATGTCATTTGACATTTGTTGTTTTCCAAGACCATGCAATTTCCATGTGCAATTTCTAAAGGGGAGCTAAAAAGGATAAAAAATAAGTAACGGTAGTAGAATTATAACACTTGCATGTGTGTCAAACTGATTTCACAAAGCTCTTGCTTGGAAATACAAGAATTGTGATATTTAGTTTGTAAAATCAGTATGACACACATGCTGATGTAATAATGTCTATAGATTTCACTAGCTGGAGCTACAAATTCAAATTTTGGGCAGTATTTTGATATGTGTCCCATTTTACGAGTTAAGGCACTTAGTAAAAAACTTAGGTAAATCCCAGATGTTTTCAATCTGTTTAAGACCAAGAGCCATTCAAGGATGTAGAAGAGAGGTATAAACCCTAATCATGTTAATATAGCTGGCAGACCACTGTTAGACTGTTAATAGTGGTATTTAGAAAGTCTGATGTGATGTGCTGGACCTACTTTAGTCCGGCTCGCTGACTTAGTTGACATGTCATTGTATCCCAGTAATGTAGAACGATGCTCATGCAGTTGATAACTGGATTGTCTGGTCCAGACCGGAATATTTCCAGACTGCTGCCATATAGCTGGAAAATTGCTGAGTGTGGCGTTAAACAACAATCAATCAATCTATCGATCACTCATATTGCGAAATTCGGTTAATTACCTTGCTAAGGAGGAAAAAGAATGCCTGCATTCAAATGAACATTTTACTTCAATTTCGAGAGGATCTGTACAAAATACTAACAAGGATGGGAAAAACAACTTATCATAGTATCAGCATGTTTGCTTCGTCCCCTCAGATGAGAGTGATGAGACGACAGCGTTTCTTGCGCTGCTGTCGACGTGGGACAAGCAGGAACTGGAAGAGAAGCTGAGTCAGAGGGTGGAGTTCTCAAAGCGAGCAATCGGCAAACTGCTCCAGGCCTTCGACCGACTGCTGCAGAGGAACGAGAAGCTTCACAAGGTCCTAGAGAACAAGGCTGAGAAGGACAAGGAAGATTTGCTGGGGGTCGTGGTTAAGCCGGCCAAGGATTCAGATGATGAGGATGAAGAGAAAGGTAGGACATTTTTGTTTAGTGTTTAAAGTAGTCATCAATATTACAGATATGTTAAGTGGGCCTGTGAAAAATGGAATGTGGACATGCAAATCAGATGTTTATCAGCAAGGTCACCATGTCCAACCACCAGATTCATTCCATGCTTTGTATGACAAGTCTAGGCTAGTGGGGCTGTTCTAAGCTTGAATCCTCATGGAAGCCAAGATGTGTTCAGTGTTAGGAGTAAAGCAGTCTTCTAGGAGAATAACGTCAGTGTTCGAAGTAGTTGAGATATCAACTGGATCTGTGAACACTGCTAGATAGAAAAGATTTTTTGATAACTGTGTGCTGGCTCATCATGATGAGAACAAGGAGGTAATCCCATGACGGATTTGTTGTCAAACTCGGGGTAAGACTCTTGCAGTAAGTGTATGTGAGTTTCAGCAATATTCTGGCAGTATCATGGCAGGGAACACTAGAAATGACTTTCACACACTGTTTCCATGTGGGGACTTGAGCCTCGATCTTCCTCATGAAGGGCGGTGGGGTAGCTTAGTGGTTACTGCGGTCACTCTTCACACCGAGGACCCAGGTTCGATTCCCAAATGTGGTGTGTGCTTTCATGGTGGAGTTAAAAAACAGGAACCAAGTAGGAACAGAACACTGTGGCGGGGGATATTGATGACCATGTCTTGTGGATAATCTAAGGATATTCATTTAGCAATTGTCAAGTCCTATGATCTATATCAATATCAATATCCAGCTCCTACTATCCAGGGCCTAGATTTTCGAAGCTCTCTTAGTGCTAAGATAGTCGTAAGTGCCATGCATTAACATTAACTTAAAACTATCTTTGTGCTAAGAGAGCTTTGAAAAACTAGGCCCAGATGAACAGGTGTCATGATGTCCATAGTAATGCCTGTTAACTACCTATAGACATTTCCTTCAGTAATCATCCTAGAGACTATACATTATACGTATTACCAAGGTCCAGGTTAGCAAGGGTTAAGTGTGTGCTGTACTGTATTCCTCTATAGACGATGACAAGTCTGATGAGGACAAGAAGGATGAGGAGGATGGGAAGGAAGACGAGACACAGAAGAAGCTGGCGGAGATTGAGAGTATGGTGAAGGAGGAGCTGGACCACTTGCGGAAGGAAAACAAACAGCTGCACAACCTCGTCACCAGCCTGCATCAGCGTCACCATGAGCATACACTCAAAGTAAGTTACCATTATGTTGATTAGGGGTGGTGGGTAGCCTAGTGGTTAAAGCGTTCACTCATCGCGCCATAGACCCAGGTTCAGTCCTCTGCGTGGGTACTATTTGTGAAGCCCATCTCTGGTGCCTCCACTGTGGTATACTTGAATATTGCTAAAAGTAGCGTAAAACTAAACTGACTGACTCATTCACTTACGAGGGTTTAAATGTATGTATACATAAAGAACAAGTCAAACTGTTTACTATTTTTAACTATTTTTAAGTTAAGCTTGCTATTGGTATTGCCAAAGGCATTTGATTGAATCATGACTTGTGCCATGTTAAAGATACAGCATGTACATTCTATAATGTTGTAGTTTTGTTGATTGCTCGCTTTAACAAGTCACAGGTGAGGGAGCAGTCTGCAGATTTAGCTTGTTCAGTCACAAATCCATAGTTTAGTCAATGTCAGTTTGGTCCAGTAAGCTCAGCATAAGTCCACATAACTATTCATACATTAATTTTATATGCCATTATATCACTGAAATGATATTGCAAGCCACACGAATCTAAATCTTAATGAGTCAAAGCGAGATTTTAACTCTTTCATTGAACAAATGCTTATAGTTATTTATTATTTATTTGTTATCTTGATGAAAATCCTTACAGCTTTTAGGAGAATGATGCTAGTAGTACAACTGCATACATACTTTAGTGTAATAAATATTTAAAGGAACATGTTTAATATGATTTAGTGTATACTCATAGTTCTTGTTTCTCTATACTGTTTAATAGCTTAAAAAACAAACCCATATGTATATATATTGTATGATTAATGGTACAAAATCTATGATGGTGGAACTATTTTACTAACTCCAGCAATATCTTTGTACCTTCTGTACACCAGTTGATTTAAGATCAGTTTCCTTATAACTGTTTGTGAATCAATGAAATAATGTATCGAGATGGACCACAACTGGATCTGTGTAAACAATGTTACTACCTGTCTCTGTTGTAGATCTCCGAGCTCCAAGATCAGGTGACAGCGTCCGAGACTGAGATTGCAGAGATGAAGAACAAGGTGGATGATCTGGAATATCAGTTTGAGAAAGCAGATCAGCGGTGTGAGAAACTGGATAGACATTTGTCAGAGGCCTTCTCCAAGCTGAGGAACTATGAGGAGACGACTGGAGCCATCACTGTGGAGGGAATCAAGAGTATCGGAGGAGTTTCCAAAACTAGGGTATGTTTTGACTGAAATATGGCAATTGTTGCAGATGTTCACCGATGAAACCTTTAGCTTGTTATCCCCCGCTGGGGGAGATAGTATTAGGCTACGTCCGTCCGTACGTACGAATTGGAATATCTTAAGAACCGTTGACTAGATTCTTTTCACCTAGGTTCATCACAGTATAAGAAAGGTCCCAGCCAGGTTTGGTGACCATGACCTTAATTTCAAGGTCACAAGGGGACTTTAACGTTTTACTTTTGTCAGCGAGATATCTCAAGTACCGTTCACTAGATTTTCTTCATATTCAACACCAAGCTTTATCTAGGGAAGGCGTAGGGCCCAGTCGATTTTGGTGACCTTCACTTAATTTTCAAGGTCACAAAGACACTTAAGATTTCAGCATGTTAAATTGCATGTTAAGATAGTCAGCAAGATATCGCAAAAAACATTCAGAGGATTTTTTTCATATTTGACACCAAGCTTCATTCAATGAAGGCGCAGGGCCCAGTCAATTTTGGTGACCGTCACATAATTTTCAAGGTCACTGCGACACTTTGAAGATTTCAGCATGTTAACCTGAATTCACTGGATTTTCTTCATAGACTTTCAAGACTTCCCTTGAATTTTTTTCATTAAGCAATTTCTTTAGTACCAATTTTGCATATTTCATGTCAAGATCAAAGTCAGTCTTGAAAATATTTGTGTGTTTGAACAACTAAAGAGCAAGATATCAAGACAGGTTGACTGGTCATGTTTTGTTGACATTTAACTTCATCTTAAAATTTCATTACTTTTTAAGTTTGATTTGATAATTTGCGGCGGGGGATTATGTCATCTTAGTGACAATGCTTGTTGGCTTTATGTGTGCAGCCAAGTACAGGTTGTTGTCGTCCTTGCTTCAGGTCTTGGTCAAGAGTTGTGTTCCTTGTCAGTGCCTGGATCAGCTGATCATGTTGTCTCCAGTTGTGACTGTAGTTTTGTCTGCACCTTACAGAAGCTTATAAGTTTCATCTCAGACCTGTATTACTATTGGCTGATCTCCCTTATTGGACTGACACGCCATGATATAACTGAATCCTTTCAAAGCAGTGTTAAACACAACACACTCAGGTAGTTTATTGAATTAGTTACCTGATAAGTATGTCCTGAAAGTTTGAATGTTGTTTGACTGAATTTGTCGTGATATCTGCAACTCATTAGATGCTATGTGTGTTGTGATATCAGTGGCTTGTTTGACTGAGTGTCTTGTGATATCAGCAGCTTGTTTGACCAAGTGTGTTGTGATATCAACACCTTGTTTGACCGAGAGTGTTGTGATATCAGCAGCTTGTTTGACCAAGTGTCTTGTGATATCAGCACCTTGTTTGACCAGTGTGTTGTGATATCAGCACCTTGTTTAATCGAGTGTGTTGTGATATCAACATCTTGTTTGACCAAGTGTCTTGTGATATCAGCACCTTGTTTTACCAAGTGTCTTGTGATATCAGCACCTTGTTTGACCAGTGTGTTGTGATATCAGCACCTTGTTTAACCGAGTGTGTTGTGATATCAACATCTTGTTTGACCAAGTGTCTTGTGATATCAGCACCTTGTTTGACCAGTGTGTTGTGATATCAGCAGCTTGTTTGACCAAGTGTGTTGTGGTATCTGCAACTTGTTTGGCCAAGTGTGTTTTGTGATATCAGCAGCTTGTTTCACCGTGTTGTGATATCAGCAGCTTGTTTCACAGTTTCACAAAGTGTGTTGTGATATCAGCAGCTTGTTTGACCATGTGTGTTGTGGTATCTGCAGCTTGTTTGTCCAAGTGTGTGCGTGTGATATCTGCAACTTGTTTGGCCAAGTGTGTTGTGATATCAGCAGCTTGTTTCATCAGCTGTGTTGTGATATCAGCAGCTTGTTTGACCAAGTAGTTTCACAAAGTGTCTTGTGATATCAGCACCTTGTTTGACCAAAAGTGTTATGATGTCTGCAGCTTGTTTGACCAAGTGTCTTGTGATATCAGCACCTTGTTTGACCGAGTGTGTTATGATGTCTGCAGCTTGTTGGACCGAACGTGTTGTGATATCAGCAGCTTGTTTTGACCGAGTGTGTTGTGATATCAGCACCTTGTTGGACCGAGTGTGTTGTGATATCAGCAGCTTGTTTGACCAAGTGTCTTGTGATATCAGCACCTTGTTTGAAGAGTGTCTTGTGATATCAGAGGCTTGTTTGACCAAGTATGTTGTAATATCAGCTGCTTGTTTGACCAAGTATGTTGTAATATCAGCTGCTTGTTTGACCAGTGTGTTGTGATATCAGCAGCTTGTTTGACCGAGTGTCTTTTGATATCAGAGGCTTGTTTTGACCGAGTGTGTTGTGATATCAGCAGCTTGTTTTGACCAAGTGTGTTGTGATGTATGCAGCTTGTTTGACCGAGTGTGTTGTGATATCAGCAGCTTGTTTGACCGAGTGTGTTGTGATATCAGCAGCTTGTTTGACCGAGTATGTTGTGATTTCGGCAGCTTGTTTGACCGAGTGTGTTGTGATATCAGCAGCTTGTTTGACCGAGTGTGTTGTCGGCATTTGTTGTGCAGCTTGTTTGACCGAAAGTGTGTTGTGATATCGGCAGCTTGTTTGACCGAGTGTGTTGTGATTTCGGCAGCTTGTTTGACCGAGTGTGTCTTGTGTTTGCAGCTGGATGAGATCCTGTCGGAGCTAGAGGAGCAGCGAGAGCTGGCCACCAACCGCCTGACGGAGCTGGAGAAGCTCAACAAGGATCATCAGGAGGCCTGCAAGGAGGTGGAGAAACTCAAGATGGATGTAAGAGTTTCTGGTGTTTCAGCTTAAAACCTTGTTCAGCAGTACGCTTACTTATTATTACGGGGTTAACGTGGTGAGACTGGTGTGAAGACTGTTTAGTTTTGATTTTGTATTTGCATTTGTTATTTAGTATCAACAAAACAAGCTAGCTAAATATTTGATTTATCACTGGTGAAATTCAGCCTGTAGTATTTGCTGTGATGATACAATCAGTGAGAATTGAGAATTTGACAAAGCAGAGTTAGACACAACAGTGTTAATGTGTATTGTTATGAGTCATTATTATATTGTCGGAGGATGGGTGAAAACTCCGCTCACTCCTGGCACGAGTCCAAGATTGCAGACCCATCATCTGTGTCTTCTGTTACAGCTTCAGCACCTGCCCGAGGCAGTCATCATCGAGACGACGGAGTACAAGTGTCTTCAGTCCCAGTTCTCTGTGCTGTACAACGAGAGCATGGCCATCAGAACACAACTGGAAGACGTGCGCAACCAACTCCAGAACAACAAGAACGGGCATCTGCGTCACATTGAACAGATGGAGGTATGTAGCCTTTTAGTGCAGGGATTTCACATGGTATTTGAGGTCCTAAATTTTATGGTCAAGTGGATAAACTCCATAAACTCAGATTCTGATGAATAGTATGTAATAAGTGTATCGCCTCTTCTGATCCTAGTGAGGGCAACAGCATACCTTAAGGTTAAAGTGTTCACTTATCATGCCAAAGACCTGGCTTCGATTCCCCACATGGGTACAATGTCAAACCATTACCTGTGTCCCCCGCTGTGATATTGCTGGAATAGTGCTATGTTTTCACTCCTTTCTTGTTCCTTATATAAGTGCCTGAGTTTGTTACTACAGGGGACTATAGTTCGCATATAAGGAAAGCCTGGATTTGCTCTCTGTTGCTTTTGCCCACATTCACATAGCTGAAAAAAATTACACATTGATTCATTAGGGGTTGCTATAAGTTTGATATGTTATCTTAGCTTAGTTATGTTAAGGTTTGTGAAGGGTGTTGTTATGTGAAAGATGTTGTTATGTTAAAATGTTGTGTCATGTGGAGGGTTGTATTATCTGAAAGGTATTGTTATGTGAAGATTTGTGTTATAAAAGGTGTTGTTATGTAAAGAGTTGTGTTATGCGAAGTGTTGTATTATGTGAAGGCTTTGTGTTATATAGAGGTTGTATTATATGGAGGATTGTGTTATGTGGAGTGTTGTGTTATGTGAAGGGTTGTGTTATGTGGAGGATTGTGCTATATGGAGGGTTGTGTTATATGGAGCGTTGTACTATATGGAGATTCGTGCTGTATAGAGGGTTGTGTTATATTGAAGGTTGTACCATATTGAAGGTTGTACTATATGGAGGGTTGTGTTCTATGGAGTGTACTGTTTGGAGATTTATGCTGTATGGAGGGTTGTGTTATATTGAAGGTTGTACTATATGGAGGGTTGTGTTCTATGGAGTGTACTATTTGGAGATTTGTGCTGTATGGAGGGTTGTGTTATATTGAAGGTTGTACTATATGGAGGGTTGTGTTCTATGGAGTGTACTATTTGGAGATTTGTACTGTATGGAGGGTTGTGTTATGTTGAAGGTTGTACCATATTGAAGGTAGTACTATATGGAGGGATGTGTTCTATGGAGGACCATGTTGCAGAGTGATGAGCTAGTGTGCCATGTGTTATATGGACTGTTGTCTTTCATGGAGGGTTGTGTTATATGGAGGTTTACGTTGCAGAGTGATGAGCTGGCGTGCCATGTGTTATATGGAGGGTTACGTTATATGGAGGTTTACGTTGCAGAGTGATGAGCTGGCGTGCCATGTGTTATATGGAGGGTTGTGTTATATGGAGGTTTACGTTGCAGAGTGATGAGCTGGCGTGCCATGTGTTATATGGACTGTTGTGTTATATGGAGGTTTACGTTGCAGAGTGATGAGCTGGCGTGCCAGAAGAAGCTGCGGACAGAGATGATACAGCTGGAAGACATGCTGGCACAGCTGCGGAAGGAGTACGAGATGCTGAGGATAGAGTTCGAGCAGACACTTGCAGCTAATGAACAGACAGGTCAGGTTCACACAGATCTCTTCCAATGAGCTATCATGGCAATCCCAGCAACCCATAATAGTCAATTTAATTAATTGGGTGGTCTGTCTTAGCTTTGATCTCTTGTCTGAACCCGACAAGATTATTTACAGACAGCCATCATTTAGCTGGAATGTTGCTGAGTGCAAAGAAATTAAGAAACAAACTTCAAATGACCACAGGTTACTAATAAGTTCATGGTGTCACCAAACATATTGTGTCATTGGTCTTTCTTTTAATCTGTAGTTCACTTGCGGAAAATTTGAGTGGACGGCAATGTCAATAATTTCCAAAAGTCTAACATCACAGTTTTGGCATTCTGGTTATATTTTTGTTAACGCAAAGACATCAAAACACATCATCCACTCCTTCACAGGCACCATCAACCGGGAGATGCGGAACCTGATCCAGTCCCTCCAGAACCACAACCAGCAACTCAAGATGGAGTCGGCCAGGTACAAGCGCAGACTGAAGGAGACGCAGGTGGAGAATGCCAGGGTGAGGATATATAGATATCTGTACATGCGTGGTCATAGTGTGTTTCAAAGACAGGCTCAAACTGACCTGAACATGCTTGGAAGTTCCTGTTGAGAAACCCTTGCCTCAGACCAACCAACATGATGAAACCTGATAAACAAAGGACCAATTCAAATGGCCAATGCTGCAAAGCAGCCTCTGAAACCAAAAGTGCAAACAAAAACCACAAACAGCCAGTTCCTCCCAGCTACCCACCACCCTGATAAGTGGAACACGAGGAAGACTGTTCTGAGCCCTAACTGGACTTATCTTCAACCTTAGCACAATACACCCTGTCAATAAATATAAGTTAAAGTCATGGTCATCATCATCAGCAGTCATACTGAGTATTTGTTTTCGTGACTGTGACCTAGGAAAGTAGATGAATTAGGCTCTGGACATTTATATACAGAGTGGGGCTGGTGAATTGATGCAGAGTCAGGAGGAGAAAACGATGCAGCAATAGAAAAAAACAACAATGTTTTTACTTCGACATGTTTCTTATCAAATGGAGCAACTACTACCACTGGAGAACTAAGTAGACTGTTTTGTATCAGGTAACAGCTGTAATAAAAATGGATAAGCAGATAGGGTAGATCACTAGAAAACCCACGAGATAACTTGATTAATTGGATAACTAGATAAACCTAGTAGATCAACCAGACAGTGACATACTTTTGTGTGGTCTCAACTCGTGTAACTATTTTCATGATGATTTTACACTGGGTGCTGTCTTACAGTTAAAGGCTGAAGGTTCCGGATCAACGTCATCAACTCCCTCATTGTCGTCGGACACGAAGGAGATCAAGGAGGAAGCCCCCGTGACCACCCCGCCAGCCACCATCAAGCTGGAGCCAGAGCTGCTGCCGGTGAAGAAGGAGGAAGATTTATCAGATGACATGGCGGAGTACCGTGAGAAGGGCAAGACGGACTCCGAGGTCATCAAGGAACTCCGGGCACAGCTCAAGTAGGTGCACAGATGAGAATTAGAGAATAACCAATGAGATGCAATGTTTTACAAGTTGTCTGTCATGGGTGAATAAATGGGGAGCAGATAACAGATCAGTGTATTCCACTGATAACCATTTTGTGATTTCACGAACAAAAATGTCAGTCATTTTTCTTGGCAGTGAGGCACTATGAGGTAGTAAGTCTACAACTGACCCACTGACTTTGAAAATCGGGTAATGCACATTGCCTTTAGTGTTAGAGAAGATGTGAAGTGTATTCCGACAGGTTCAGATTCACTGTAAAATTTGATGGGAAGACTATAATAACCCATATAAAAGAGGGTTTCATGTTTAGCAGTATACACGGCGTGTTTATTAGAAACCTCACAGGTCAGAGTTGTGTCCCTTGCATGAAATTTTGAAATCAACATTTGACAGATGGGACGACTATTTGACGTTTGTATTCCTGTTAGTCCCTATAAATTGCCACTCGTGAAGATCTGGGTTAGAATTGGTCTTCGGTAACCCATGCTTGTCATGAAAGACGATTAACAGGATCTGGTGGTCAGGCTTGCTGATTTGGTTGAAACATGTCCTCGTATCCTAATTGTGTAGATTGATGCTCCTGCTGATGATCACTGGATTGTCTGGTCCAGACTTGATTATTTACGTGATTTATTGAGTGTGTTATCAAACAACAAACCAACAACCCTATAAATTGGCATTTTAGTTTTGTTTAGGGAACAGGCTGTATCTGAGTAATGTAAAGTGATATAGCATTAAGATAGCTCCAAGTGATTCAGTGCATGGTATGTATACAGGAAGGCCCAGGACAGTCAGAAGGAGCTGAAGCTGCTGCTAGACATGTACAAGAGTGCACCCAAGGAGCAGCGGGACAAGGTCATGGTACGTGGTCTCGTTAACATAGTCGCTAGTACGGAACCTCTGTTACGTGAATGTAATTAATGAATTAGAAAACAGCTTTAGAACAGGCTTAGTATTAAGTAAAATGTTGCTGAAAGCGGTGTAAAACTAAGCTCACTCACTCACTCACTCATTTTGATACCTACAGCCCCACTAACAATAAATGTGTCCATGTGATGGTGTTTCAGTTGATATCCTCAATATCGATATATGTGTCCATGTGATGGTGTTTCAGTTGATATCCTCAATATCGATATATGTGTCCATGTGATGGTGTTTCAGTTGATATCCTCAATATCGATAGATGTGTCCCTGTGATGGTGTTTCAGTTGATATCCTCAATATCGATAGATGTGTCCCTGTGATGGTGTTTCAGTTGATATCCTCAATATCGATATATGTGTCCCTGTGATGGTGTTTCAGTTGATATCCTCAATATCGATATATGTGTCCATGTGATGGTGTTTCAGTTGATGGAGGGGCAATGGGGTAGCCTAGTGGTTAAAGCGTTCACTTGTCACGCCGAATGCCCGGTTCGATTCCCCACATGGTACAATGCGTGAAGCCCATTTCTGGTGACCCCCGCTGTGATATTGCTGAAATATTGCTAAAAATCGCCATAAAAGTCACTCTCTCTCACTCACTCACTCACTAACTCACTCACTCACTCACTCACCCACTCTTTCAGCTGATGGCCTCGGAGAAGAAGTCTCGTCAGGAAATGGAGGAGATAAGGGCACAGATCAAGAAGATGCAGGAGGCGGAGAAGAAGGAAAAGAGGAAGCTGGCAGAGGAAGACGCCATCAGAAAGATCAGGAAGAATGAGGAGACAATCTTGGAGCTCCAGAAAAACCTGGCATCTCAGAAACAGGTAGACCACATGAAGATGTTTGATGGAAATAGTGCCTGTAGGCACTCTGAAGGGGAAACTGTGTAACAGATGGTTTAAAAAAGAGTCTAAGACTATTTTAGGGAATACTCCAGATGACTTCTCTTCCTATATTCAGGCCCAACTTTCACAAAAGTAAGCAGGGTTTTTTATGAATCTGAAAACCAAGAAAATTGGAAGTATGCAGCACAGAAGTTAATCAAACTCAGTATTGGTTCGATTTCACAAAACTTTATAGAGAACATCGGTCCTCATGTGATCTTATTGCACCCTCTACATGCAAATGAAAGACTGAGCGAGGAGTGTTTGCTTCTCAGAGAGAAGAGGCCTTGCTGAATGACCTTGAGGTCACCGGACAGGCATTTGAGGACATGCAGGAACAAAACACACGCCTCCTACAGCAGCTCCGGGAGAAGGACGACGCCAACTTCAAACTGATGTCAGAGGTAACACGTCTAACTGGCTTATTTCATACTGAGTGAGTGAATGATTCTTAGTGCCTGTGTGAATATGCAAGTCTCAACCAAGCACTCTTGTGGCTGAAACTTAGATGCTGGAGCGATTGATAATGATCGGTCGATCTCATGTCAGCGATTGTCGATAGGCTCAGGAGACTAATTGATATTCATGAAAATTAATCATCAAATTAAACTTTAGAAAGTATGTTTCTTATTATGTTTGTTAAATCAAGATATAAATAACTGATGCAGTTTCGTGACTTGTGAAACAACATCCTTGCATGCGTGTCTCAACAGGAAGTATCTTATTGTTTCCTAAGTGTCCTAGATTGTCGTGGGTATTAATTTGTGCCTGTTACGTTTCCTCAATGTTATGATTCTGTCTCGTTATTTGCCCACAAGAGTTTTGTGGTAGAGTGTACAATTACAATTGATTATTTATTGATTACTCTGGTCTGATTATCAATCTACAAATTATAAGCGATAACCCACACTGATAACAAATACTGGTTGGTGAGTTTTGTATCTGAGTGGGGAATCCATGGTAAACTGTAGCATGATATATATTGAAATCTCAGTGGGCTGACATAAAGCCTTTAGTCAGAAGCTGACATATGCATGTTGCCACCTTGAAGGCAATGTTAAACCATCAATAGTAAACTATAGCTTTTAGGTATGTACATGCAGATGTAGTGAATGTGATCTCTTATGCTGCAGACAATAGCCACAGGTCCACCATGAAAAATGACAGGACCGTTTTCAAAGTGAGTGTTTTTGACTAAACGTGAAATCACACAATAACCCCGTTCATCTCTCCTGTATCGCTTTGTAGCGGATCAAGTCGAACCAGATCCAGAAGCTGCTGCGAGAGGAGAAGGACATCCTGGTGGAGCAGGTGTCGACGCTGCAGCTGCAGGTGGAGGCGCAAAACGAGGTGGTGCGCAAGCTGGAGGAGAAGGAACGCATACTGCAGAACAACCTGTCTACAGTCGAGAAGGAGCTCAGGTAACAGGGGACAACCAACATTTGTTTGTTTGTTTGTTTGTTAGTGCACTGAACAATGTTCCAGCAGTATGCAATTTGGATACGATGATACTCATAAAGTCAGCAAGCCTGACTACTTGATCCCATTAGTCACATGGCAAACATGGTCTGTTTGAGACAAATAGCCGTAATTGTGCTAAGTGCTCAAATATTACTGATTGAAGCCTAAAACAACATTCACTCTGACCATGCCCTGTTCTGCCTGTCTCAATAGCTTGACCCAGCAGGCGATGGAGATGCACAAAAGGAAGGCAGTTGAGAGCTCCCAGACAGCTGCTGACCTCAAGCTCCACCTGGACAAGTACCAGTCCCAGCTCAAGGAGGCCCAGGTTGCTGTGGCCGAGAAGACAGGTGCTCTCGAACAGGAGGCATACAAGTATAAGAGAACTCAGGTTTGCAGTCTTTACCCTCTTCTGAATGTAATTCCTGTATGTGTTCTCATGTATAACCATATGGCCTATAATTCTGAAGATTTGTATCCCAGTTGTAGTGTCAGTAGAATGTGCTCCAATATTTACGAAGTGCTCATGAAGTTAGTTAGTTACGCACACACCATCAGCTGCAACAACATCATTCTCTGAGAGAGAGTCGCTGTGTAGGTGCAACTGTATACAATATGACCTCAGGTTGTTCCTGGAGAATTATTAGAGGGACAAATACACAACAAATTGAAAAGACTTTTTAGATTCCAATAATACGACATGATCAATAAAGTCAATAGTTATCCAACTTCATCTTCAATGTACAAGTGAGTGTTGTGTTGTGTGCAGGAAGAGATAGCCAAGCTTCAGCGTAAGCTTGAGAGGAGTAAGAAGATTGAGATGGCCGGGGCTGCTGACGAGGTTCTGCTGGAGGAGATCAAGGAATATAAGGTAGCTACACACATATGTACTTGTGACTGTTGTCACTCTCATGGACCACCTGGTGGGGTTTCCAGGGTAGAATAGGTCCCCTCAGCATCTTGATGTTATACCAGTCCAGATTTTCTGGGATCTCAAACCATGTGCCCTTTCCAATTTAGGATTTAACAAAGTTGTTTCTGTTACTTTAACATTATCCATGATTCCTTGAGCTCATATCTGACGCTATAAATGTTATTACCTGGTGGATTATTTATAACAAGAGTGAATGAGCTTGGTTAAACGCCATTTTGAACAGTCTTCTACTTATGTCAGAGCTTGTCAGTCTAACCTGAAGTAATGCATGTGTCATGTCAGGGGTGGAAATAACCCATTGCCCGACGTCCGAGTCCAGTGTTTTTTTCTGTCGGGCAAGCAAATTTGTATATCACAATGTACCGGTGTCCAGTTGACATTCCAATGCCAATTATGTTGTGTATTTAAAAAATCAACAAGAAAACGGCTGGTATAGTGGAAAAATTATCAGGGCAAGTGATTTTACATGTGCCACTGTACCGAAGTACACTAGCAATTTTAAAGTTATTTCCACCCCTGCATGTATTTACCACATTGGTGAAATGCACAAGCATGGATATGGTGCTGACAAACCTAGATACTTCAATGAGCAAACCATGATTTGAACCAGTGATCTTAGGCTTCTGGCATACCAAAGGGACGCAACTCTGCACAGAAATTCATATGCCTTAGACAACCACTCATGCCTACTTTTCAAAGAGGAAGTTTGTCTGTATTTCAATGATATGTTTTTTGTGTTCCAGGAACAACTGACCTGTCCCTCTTGCAAAGTTAACCGGAAAGATGCAGTGCTCACTAAATGTTTCCATGTATTCTGTCTGGAGTGTTTGCGAACTCGCTACGAAACCCGACAACGGAAATGTCCAAAGTGCAATGCTGGCTTTGGAGCCAATGACTTCCACAGACTGTATTTGACTTGATGGAGGGAGCTGTGTGCTGCTCAGCACTTTAGGAGATGACTTCATTTCAGACTTGTCACAGGTTAAATCTTTGTCCAAACTTCACGGGTTTGTATGCATTCTGTTTCTCCATCACCCATCAGTACATGTTGTTCCTGTGGGAATTCACAGTTAAAATAGTCTCATGGTAAAGTGGTCTCATGTATCTGTGGGTGATGGAGAAAAGATTATACAAATGGTGAAGTACTTGTATTGGCGATGAGGTTCTGTCTGTAGCAAAGGTTCCATCGTTAAAAATGACACAAGCATTTTGCCATCCTCTGTTATCCAGTGTGCATTATCTTCTTTTTATTATCATCGATACAACCATAATGATATGGACCAAACAGTGCTATAGCTATGAATTAAGTCTTATTTGAATGACATGTTCTTAACAATAACAATGCAGTCAGATCACAGATTTTTATTCATTTTGTGGAAAGTTATTTACACCTGGGATAGACATATCATCACTTACTTCCCAAATGAGTGAATTTGGTGTTTTGTCAGCAGGGGCACTCGAGAAATGGGATTCACACATTTGACCCTTGTTGGACACAAACACATACTTCGGCATGACAGGTGAAGGCTATAACCACTAGGCTGTCCCACTTTCAACCACTTCATAATTGAATCTGTGAATGTGTCCAGGGCATTATCATTGTCACTTGATATACTACTCCACTTTTAATAAGGATATGTATATCTGTCTGTTAAACACAACACCGACTCATGTGTCATTTGACTCTCTTTTAAATATTCTATTATCCTTATCAAAGAGTGAGTGAGTGTAGTTTTACGCCACTTTTAGCAATATTCCAGCAATATCACAGCGGGGGTCACCAGATGTGGGCTTCACACATTGTACCCATGTGGGGAATTGAACCTGGGTCTTCGGTGTGACAAGCGAATGCTATAACTACTAGGCTACCCCACTGCTCCTTTTATCCTTATCAAATATTGAGTGGTATATATAATACATTGGATAGTGGAGGATGGCATTTTGGCTATTTGTAATGATTTTATCACAAAGTCATCATTAAGCATTGTTCCATTACATCATATTTTACAAATGCTTGTGAAGCATATCAAAAAGTGATTAAATTCAATTTCCATCAAATAACCTTGAATGGTGGCTTTAGAAGCTCTGACTGTCATAAGTTCTGTGTAATCAATCTGAATTAACCATATTAGCATTAGCACAGATGTTAGTTCACACTGTTGATAGCGTTTATCATCTTGAAGTACTAATGGCGTCATTTCATTAACTTATTCGAATATCTACAGGTTGGTACATTTCCAGTACAGAATCATACGGATATAAATACTACTTCAATATTTATGTTTCATTCGATGCTTATTGTGCTAGGTGAAGTTGTGAGGACACGATAACATGGAAGTAGGCCTGTGTGAGACACCCAATAACATTTATGTGATGAGATTCATTTCTTTATTTTGACACATTTCAGCTCGAGGCATTTTTCATTCCTATTATGTGTATGGTGTCTTCAACTTCATTGTATTTTGGACCCTAGTGATGTATTCTGGAACGATACCATTCATATCTTGATAGTAATGTTACTCTAGGCTCTTAACTTGTATACAAGAGCCCTTGCCTCGCCTAATGAAACCCTGTAATTTGGTTTGAGAAACATTGAACATAACTTCAAAAAATATTTTTACAAGTCATTTGTACTGTTCTACAATACCATTCTTATTAGTGTGGGTATTTCATGGGTTAGAAAATAGAACTTACCGGGGCCTACCTTCCTTTCCTTGTTCAATGCAATCAGGATGCTCATGATGTTGATCACTGGAATGTCTGGTCCAGACTTGATTATTTACACACCATCGCCACATAGCTGGAATATTGCTGAGAGCGGCGTTAAACAACATACCAGGCGTTAAACAACATACCAACCTCGAAGTCGATGAGTCGATACCAGATAATATGACTTCATGGACAACAACTTCCTCAAAGCAATCGTAACCTTACGACCTGTCATAACGCTGTAGTTTACTATAGGCTTATGAACGTCATAGGGCTTACAACGTTTGGAGGATCGGGGCCCTATGATTAAGTTCAAATTGTATACTTAATTCTAAGGTGGTTTAGAAATAGTATGTTCAAATTCTTAAAGCATGTAGCATTGAAATATGAGCCTTTTTTTTGTAGATATTGGAAGGTGATGAAAATATTAGTAGACAAGACAGAAAGTTCGTTTGATTTTTCTATTTGTGTACAGATTGTTAGTTATTCTGTCATAACTTATAGTTAGGTTTTACTCATACAAACATTGAATCACAATGTCGTCAATGCCTTTGAACTGTATGGTTTTTAAGACAATAGAAATGTAATTCATCATCCAAAGTTCACATCCACAGAAGATACTACCAGATGAAATGTCATCACAGCTCTTTAGAGATCATTGTGATGTCAATGGCTCCCATGATGATGTAAGCCGATTCCAGGCTCCATTTGCGTGTCGTCAACTTGCACCAAAGCCTGTAAATGAGAGGTGGAGTTCAGCTTAACCATGGGGTCACAATCTAATGACAACTCTATGTTCTTTGCCGGGGAAGAATGTCAGCTCTTTTACACTCTGTCATTGCTTACAAGCTGAAAAAATCGAAAGAATGAGTTTGGATGAGAACAGATTCTCAACTTTGTGTCTTTTGATATCAGTGTTTTATACTGTCATGACTTGTGTTGATATGTTTGATGTCATGAGACACTGAGGTGAGATTTCCCCTGTGTATGTAGAAAGTGAGTTTGGTTTGGATTCTGGGTGGAATGTTTGTACCTATTATCATCGCCTTAACTGTATCCTGTGTGTTACACAAGCATGTTTGTACACAAGTATGACCTGCTGGAGTTAGTATCTGTGAGGTGTATCCTGTATCATGTACCATGTGTGTAAGAAAGCGTGGGAGGCGATTGTATGCTGTGTTGAACATCCTCGTCTTATTTTCATCAACTCTCATCACAATAAACCAATACCAAAGAAATGGACTTAATTGTTTGTCAAACTTTCAGATCAAGAGTTCTTTTATTTCGTTTGCAGATTATTTTTAAAATGCATGATTAAAACATTGAAAATAGCATCTGTGGCAAAAAGTGTAATAATATCCAACGGTGACACTTATATGTATATTCACCCCAGTCAGTGGATTGACATAATTAATATTCATTCTCAGCTTGCTGAGGAATATGTGACTGAACGTAGCTGCATGTGAGGTACTAGACCATCTCATTAAAAGTGCCAATTTCTGGCCTTTTGACTAATGTGCTTGGTTTCACAAGTGTGAGTTTGATGCACATGAGTGGTAGAGCACCCAAGTTATGAGACCTAACTTGTCAAAGGTCGCCTGAAAACTGTATGAGTATCGTGTAATGCTTACAAAATGCCATTTAGAAACATTCGTTTATATTTGGGATTACAATTTCTCAGTCAGCAGAGGGGTTCACAAAGTATGTGTGATCTGGACTACCAGTTGTCGGACTTCATTCTTGTTGAAGTTGCAAGGGCTGAGTGGGTTAGATGGCTGACTTAGTGTGCTGACAATTAGGTACCGGACTCTGAGTGTCCGGATGAGACTCAACCACATAAGTACTTTAATGTGAGTGTAATCACCAATATGACATGTTGTAATGATTGTTCAAGCTGTCAGTGCATTGCAATATCCCATTGCTTGATGAAAGTCCACAAAGAACAGATCATGGAGAGCCAGGTATATAACAACACATGCTTATCTGTTTGGATGGTCAGGCTTGCCGACTTGCTTGCTTGTTGTCACATTGGTGTAGAGAGAGTGAGTGAGTTTAGTTTTACGCCGCATTCCGCAATATTCTAGCTGTATGGTGGCAGTCTGTAAATAATCAAGTCTGGACCAGACAATCTAGTGATCAACAACATGAACGTCAATCTAGGCAATTGGGATACGATGACATGTGTCACCTAAGTCAGTGAGCCTGACCACCCGATCCCTTAAGTCGCCTCTTACGACAAGCATGGGTTGCTGACCAATTCTAACCGTATCTTCACGGGTCTGGTGTAGATTGATGCACATGATAGAAATCACTGGATTTTCAGGTCTGGACTCAGTTCTTTAAAAACCTCCTGACATATTGCTAAGTGCAACGATGAACAACAAACAAAACATAATTATTATCTTAATACCATATATTATTAATATATTACAGAATTTGCAGATCTACACCATGTAACTGACAGGCATTGTGAATAAAAATCAACAGAAAGATATATAATCAGGGGTGTAGCTACCATTATAAAATAAAGCCCGGACTTACACATGATTGTTGCTAAAGAGGTTGGGCAAGCCCTCAATACTATCAAAATATAAAGCTTTGCAACATGTACGGCTTACACGAAAAAATTGGCTTGCTACGCGCCTGATAGTTGCACGGATATTACAAGAAACGACCTGTGGGTAACACTAGGGGTGTCTATCAACCTACACCATCTAGGATAATGACGTTCCTGAGTTACATGTTGTGAATGTCTTGACAGTGCAGAGTTGTAAGCAGTGTGACTCGGAAGGTGTGCAAATCTGAGATAAGAAATTTGCAGTTAATAAATGTTAGACACATTGGAAGCTGAAAGCTATTTATTGAGAAGCTGGACAGTTGGAATATAATAATCTGTCCACCCTTTTATAAAATGGACCAACTGTTTGAACTCTAAACCCAAGCACATATTACTAAATACAGCAGTTGCATGGTAGTTTGGAAAGTGAAGATCTCAATTTTGTTGACAAACAGTATTTTGAAACTTCTTGAAAGAAAAAAATCTACATTCCTGAAAAATACATATACAAAGTCCTGATACAATAATGTTTGTCATTTACCTCATTTAGGTTTGTCCAAATAAGTGGCATGGCTTTCACGACCGACCAACACATAAAATATTAACGAAGTACCATTACAGTAGTAAATCTTACTTAGATATGGCAGAACAGTTTTAGTGTTTCCATCTATGCTGGATAAATTACATTAAATCAATCACTTCCAGCAGCTAGTGACCTTGCAAATATGTAAACAACACCCTGGCAAAGATATCTATTTTATTGTTTAACACGGAAATATACTACGTACGTAGCTTGGTCAACATGTGAAATGTACATAAAATGTTCACTTAACAAGGGACATAACTCGGATACCATTTTCAAGATGGCTGCACCCATGCAGCATGTTCGGACACTTTGTTGTAGGTCGTTCAATGTCTTGTATGCAAAGTCCTGGAGTAGATACAGTGTGTGTAATGTCACCAGTGAAGCTGTTTCGATGCCATGCCGTCTGTTCTCTTCGCGGACAAACGGCCAAGTCGAGGATGATTTCTTCGGCATCAAAGAAAATGATGGATGTGTTGAAAACGAAAGTGTCAAACAATCTTCAAACGATGGACACTTGCAGACGAAATATTCCTTCAGGAATAAAAAGCCAAACACGACGTATACTAGCTACCCAGTACCTTATGGCATCGTTAGAAAAGAGGAACACGTTAGCAGTAAAAAGAAACAACGAGATGAACATACGCCATTAACGTACAAAAACAAGGAATTATTTGTAAAGAACAAATATGGAGACAGAGTTGCTGTGAAGAAAGAGGGACCTTTGAAAAATATTCTAAGTCAGGATGATCTTGTGAACCAGACAATTAATCCAGGAATTCAAAAGTTCACTCAGCACGAAGGTGAAAATATATTTGATGAACAGTATTTTCAGATGGACGAAAATCCCACAACTCGAGTAAAGTATTCTGATAAGGATTATATGAAACTTCAACAAATTGCTTCACTTACAGAAAACTCGGACAAACAAACTTGTGGTAATGATATAAATGATAATAACACGGACTTGAATTTTGTTGATAGTCAATATTTTCACAGCAATGAAAGCATTCAGAGGTCTTCAGAAAGCAAGCCTGAACATACTACCGAACATTTAAAAGCCCCAAAATATCAGCTGTTGCATGGTAGTTTGGAAAGTGAAGATCTGAATTTTGTTGACAAACAGTATTTTGATACTGAAGCAGTGCATTCAGACAACTCATCTGTCGCTGACAAGTCATTGCATGGAGGACTAGGTGACACAGTTGATAGTGGTGTTGACGGAACAGAGCATCAAACAGGAATTAACAGAATACCTCAAAAAAGAGGTATTAGAAGACGAGTTGTTGCCAGGCAACAAACAAGAGATGAGGATGAGGACAAAAGGTCACCAACAGCTTATGATGTTTCTCGCAGAATACAAGAAAACTTGACAAAGTCTACCACAGATGAAGATGGTAGGTGATGTGTCATATGATCATGGTGACAGGTGGTCATCAGTAAGATCTATATTTTATCATGTTTATAATAGCAATTTTTTTATTAATTCCCCATGTCATGAAATTTGAGCAGTAAACTCGACTACAATGTCTACAGAATGCTGAAACAGAATAGTTTTCAGTTGTTCCTGTAAATTGTAGTATGATATCACCAGATATCATTTTACCTGTATTATCTGTTGACGTTCATACCACATGTGTACAGATACTCTCAATTATTTAATTTATTTCCTTTGCCATGTTGACATGATGAAGACAAGATAATGAAGACAGGAACATGTTTTCTCCCCTCACTACATGGTCATGGGCTTTTAAGTTCAGCATATTGTTCTGCCTGTGGAAAAAGCAGTAGGAGACTCCATCATGAAACAGTTGTGACGTAATGTGTCAGATCTGACCACAGTACCAGAAGGGATGTCCTCATCATTAATACAGGGGTCAGTGGGGTAGGCTAGTGGTTAAAGTGTTCACTTGTCACATCAAAGTCCTGGGTTCGATTCCTCACATGGGATCAATGCTGTGTGAAATAGTTTCCATATTTTGCTAGCCAGTTGTGCTAGCTATGCCTGAAAGGTATTAGCCCACAAAATAATTCACTGGCTCGATATTTGAATGTAGAAACTGAGCAAAATATTACAAAAGGTACATGTCTTTGAGAATAAGGTATTGTTGGCATGAGATGGGTTTCATCATTATGATGCTAATATGATGAACATGTTTATCAGGCCATAATCTTGCATGATTTAAAGCTGTATTATAACTTAACAAGTCGGAGAAAGTGGTATATTAAGAAAATGACCCCATGAAAATTCATAAGCCAGTCGGGCCAGAGACTGTCCAGATTTACTGGCCTGACTGGATTTTTACCAGCCACGGGCTAGCGGGCCAGTGGCTATTTTGCACACTGGTAAAATGTGTGAAGCCCATTTCTGGTGTCACCTTCTGTGTTATTGCTGGAATATCAGTAAAAGTGGTGTAAATCCTCACTCACTCACTCACTCACTCACTCACTCACTCACTCACTCACTCACTCACACACTAATACAGCATTATGAGATGGTGTTGTTTGCAGCAACTGGTGGTACATCAAGACGGTATGCGGGGCCTGTAGACAGCAAGGGGTACCGTATCCTCAAGCACCAGGTGGACGATGTGATGACCATGCCCTCGGTGATGGTGACAAGGCTGCTGCAAGACAGCATCATTTACAACAAAGGTTTGGATGAGTACTGATGTATTATTTCCAAGATACACTACTGATATATAGGGACATGTAATATCATCCCAACCTGAGTGAGTGAGTAAGTATGGTTTTACGCCACTTTTTAGCAATATTCCAGCAATATCACGGCGGGGGACACCAGAAATGGGCTTCACACATTGTACCCATGTGGGGAATCGAACCCGGGTCTTCGGCGTGACGAGTGAGCAACGCTTTAACCACTAGGCTACCCCACCGCCCCACTTGGGTAAAAATGTGTGAAGCACATTTCTTGTGTCCCCCACTTTGTTATTGCTGGAATATTGCTAAAAGCGCATAAAACTAAACTCACTTATTAATTGAGTGACGTCGAGGAGAATTGCTACATTGTAACTGCACCAGTTATCATAACTTGAAAGTCAAGTGACATCATTGATCATTTGATGTCTCTGCCAATGAAACTAGGTGTGTATCATTTTCACAATCAAGACACTGTTTATGTCTCTTTAATGATGAACAGAATCTCACCTAAGTGTTTATTTCTATATAGAATGTATCAACACTTGGTTCTCACAACCAGACTTTATGAACAAATACATGAATGTGATATGTTTATGATCCGTGAATGTGCTAGAAATACAGAAGGGGTGGTGCTGGATATGTTTTCAAGTGTAAAGGAATTATTAATAAAGACTGAATTTGTTTTTTAGGTGACATCATAGCCATTGACAAACCGTATGGACTGCCTTCTCATGGTAAGTAACCGTGGTCAGTGACTCAAACTGTCCAGTCACAGTAACATGTTCTAATGAATCCATCCATCCATCCATCCACACACCCATCCAGTCATCCAGTAACCATGTTCATCCAATGATCCATCCATCCATCCATCCATCCATTCATCCATCCACATCCATCCATCATCCATCCACACCATCCATCCATCCATCCATCCATCCATCCATCCATTCCATCCATCCACCCACCCATCATTCATCCATCCATTCACCATCCACACACCCATCCATCCATCCATCCATCCACCCACACACCCATCCATCCATCCCTCATCTGTCCACCCATCCATCATTCATCTGTCCATTCATTCATCCATCCATTCACTCATCCATCCATCCATGTTGGATTGAAAAGGCAAACGTGAGGAGCAAGTCAACAGGCACACTGACTTTGTTGATAGTGTTAGAGACTCCCATCCTGCCCTAGTGTTGTACTATGTATGGCATGTGCCCTGTGTGACCTGTCCGCCTGTATTTCAGGTGGACCTGGGGTACACATGAGTGTGGGGCAGTTGCTGCCTGCTCTAACAAAGCTTGTGGATCCCACTGGACAGCTGGACACCCTACACCTGGTCCACCGACTGGACAGACAGACAACGGGGGTCATGCTACTGGCCAAGTAAGTACCTCTTTAGAACACCTGGTGTCAGTCTAGTGACCAAGTGAACAGTCATCATGGTTTGTGGTACTGACCTAGTAATAAAATTTGTAGGCCATCTGGTGTTATGATACTAAGTAGCTCGCAACAACACCTGGTGTTATGATACTAAGTAGCTCGTATCTACACCTGGTGTTATGATACTAAGTAGCTCGCAACAACACCTGGTGTTATGATACTAAGTAGCTCGCAACAACACCTGGTGTTATGATACTAAGTAGCTCGCAACAACACCTGGTGTTATGATACTAAGTAGCTCGCAACAACACCTGGTGTTATGATACTAAGTAGCTTCTAGAAACACCTGGTGTTATGATACTAAGTAGCCTGCAACAACACCTGGTAATGATAGTTGAGTAGCCTGCAACAACACCTGGTGTGTTATGATACTGAGTAGCCTGCAACAACACCTGGTGTTAATGATACTATGTAGCCTGCAGCAACACCTGTGTAATGATACTGAGTAGCCTGCAACAACACCTGGTGTTATGATACTGAGTAGCCTGCAACAACACCTGGTGTTATGATACTGAGTAGCCTGCAACAACACCTGGTGTTATGATACTGAGTAGCCTGCAACAACACCTGGTGTTATGATACTGAGTAGCCTGCAACAACACCTGGTGTTTATGATACTGAGTAGCCTGCAACAACACCTGGTGTTATGATATGATACTGAGTAGCCTGCAACAACACCTGGTGTTATGATACTGAGTAGCCTGCAACAACACCTGGTGTTTATGATACTGAGTAGCTGCAACAACACCTGGTGTTATGATACTAAGTAGCTTGCAACAACACCTGGTGTTATGATACTGAGTAGCCTGCAACAACACCTGGTGTTATGATACTGAGTAGCCTGCAACAACAACACCTGGTGTTAATGATACTAAGTAGCTTGCAACAACACCTGGTGTTATGATAACTGGTGTTAGATACTGAGTAGCAAACAACACCTGGTGTTATGATACTGAGTAGCTTGCAACAACACCTGGTGTTATGATACTGAGTAGCCTGCAACAACACCTGGTGTTATGATACTGAGTAGCCTGCAACAACACCTGGTGTTATGATACTGAGTAGCCTGCAACAACACCTGGTGTTATGATACTGAGTAGCCTGCAACAACACCTGGTGTTATGATACTGAGTAGCCTGCAACAACACCTGGTGTTATGATGATACTGAGTAGCCTGCAACAACACCTGGTGTTATGTTATGATACTGAGTGTTATGATACTAGCTTGCAACAACACCTGGTGTTATGATACTATGATAACTGAGTAGCCTGCAACAACACCTGGTGTTATGATACTAAGTAGCTTCGCAACAACACCTGGTGTTATGATACTAAGTAGCTTGCAACAACACCTGGTGTTATGATACTAAGTAGCTTGCAACAACACCTGGTGTTATGATACTAAGTAGCTCGCAACAACACCTGGTGTTATGATACTAAGTAGCTTGCAACAACACCTGGTGTTATGATACTAAGTAGCTTGCAACAACACCTGGTGTTATGATACTAAGTAGCTTGCAACAACACCTGGTGTTATGATACTAAGTAGCTTGCAACAACACCTGGTGTTATTATACTAAGTAGCTTGCAACAACACCTGGTGTTAATTATACTAAGTAGCTTGCAACAACACCTGGTGTTATGATACTAAGTAGCTTGCAACAACACCTGGTGTTATGATACTAAGTAGCTTGCAACAACACCTGGTGTTATGATACTAAGTAGCTTGCAACAACACCTGGTGTTATGATACTAAGTAGCTTGCAACAACACCTGGTGTTATTATACTAAGTAGCTTGCAACAACACCTGGTGTTACGATACTAAGTAGCTCGCAACAACACCTGGTGTTATGATACTAAGTAGATGTTACGATATTAAGTAGCTCGCAACAACTCCTGGTGTCATCCTACAGACACCATGGTTTGTGGTATCCCTGTGTATAGCTCCTAGTGCCTTGCTTCCCATCAACCCATAACATTTTTAACAAATACTTCTCTGACAAATTTACAAACAATATGTGAAACAATAACAATTTTGTCTGTGTGTGGTTTAATTTTGGTTTCTAGAAACACCTCTAAACCAACATCCCTCTAAACCCACATTTTTCACCAGTCCCCAGCGATGTTGTTTTAGAGGGAGTCAACTCTGTGAACTATTTTGTGAAACAATTTCAATCTTGCTTTTACTTCCTTCAAGACTCATTGTGACACCAATGCATTCTACTTGTATTTTTAAGTGTTTACAGGACTGGCCAATGAGATGGCTTGAACATTTTTGTCTCTTTGACAGAACGGCAGAGATGGCCTGGCAGCTGAAGAGCGCCTTCAGGAAGAGGGAGGTAGTGAAGAAGTACTGGGTACTCACTAAGGGTGTACCAAGTCCCCAGAAGGGTACGTCCACCTCACCAGAGTTCCAGGTTTCAATAACTCTCACATTGATCTCATTAAAATTAGGCATTTTACTCCTCGTTTTATACTTTCCTCGGGTTTATGGTTTATGGTTTATGCATTTACTTTTAACAAAGCAATGTGATATTATTAATAATTGTTTTCTAAATTTGATTAAATAAACAGATCAATACAACTCACTTGAAAGGTATCACTAGATATCAGTACCAACAATGGGCTTTACACATTGCACCCATGTGGGGAATTGAACCTGGGTCTTCAGCATGACGAGCAAACGCTTTAAACACTAGGCTACCCCACCGCCCCCATAACATTATAAAGACACAACATTAGTTATGACTGTAACCCCATGAATTGGAGAATGTTTTATTCCAATTTAGGAATTTGTACTAACATTGACTGCCTACTAGAGACCAATATCAGTATTTGAATACCGGGTAGGTCTAGATAAATCCCTGTAGTCACCAAGCTGAGTTGTGTCTCTAATGTCAGGGTCCTCTGAAAGGTTGTATGAATTAGCACAATACCCAACTGTCTATACACCTTAATGTCTTAGATATAGGGGCAGTGGGGTAGCCTAGTTGTTAAACCATTCGCTCGTCACGACGAAAACCTGGGTTTGGTTCCACACATGGATACAATGTGTGAAGTCCATTTCTGGTGTCCCCAGCCGTGATATTGCTGGAATATTGCTAAAAGCTGAGTAAAACCATACTCACTCACTCACTCTTAGGTATAACTTGTTGATGTCATCTCTTCATTTCCAGCTGTGGTTGATATACCGATGGCGGAGGGGACAGTCGGGAGGTTTCACAGGGTGAGATGTTTCACGTGTTGATGTTGATGGTAAAGTTGTGTTATATGGCTTGCCTTCCAACCACGCTAACTCTTAGGGACTTGGGTGCTAGGGTTACTATCTGCAGGCACTTGTGTTATCAGACTTGGGCTATTGGAATCAGGGACTTGGGTTATCATACTTGGGTACTTGGGTAACCATGTCCAAGAACTTGGGTTATCAGGCTCAAGGACATTGGTTATCAGACTTGGAGACTTGGGTTATTGTTTTCATACTACTGTGCTTGGGTTATTGTACTAGAATGCTTGGGTTATCGTACTAGGGTGCTTGGGTTTTCGTACTAGGGGGTATTTACTAGGTGCTTGGGTTGTATGTTGTTCGAGAATGAAGATGACTGGATTTGGGTGATGTTTTGATCGAGTCTCAAGATGACTGGACTGTTTGATCCAGTCTCGATTTCTTACAGACCACTGCTACATAGGTGGAATATTTCTGAATGTGATGTTAAATAAACAAATCCAGCTGTTAGAGCTACTAAGTTACTGACAGTCTGATTACTCTTTTGAAATGACCTGAACATCACCCGAGCATGTTGTTATCACGATATTCCTGCATTCAAAATAAGTATGCCATGGAACAGATAAATTGGGACCAACTTACTCTGGAAGGCATCGTAATGGTTGACTTAACTATGAATACAGATGGATACAACTGGAGACAGATCATTACTAGTTTCTTTGGCATCAAGTATTTAATAGGACCAGCGTATGTAGATAGTTGCCATGGTACTGTCTCAAAACTGCCTCATCTTTACTGCTGCAGATGGTGTTGAAGCCAGAGTCTACTCCAGACACGAGACTAGTCAGCAAGAGGAGCTTCACGGAATCCCACCAGGCAATCACAGAGTTTGAAGTCCTAGATAGTCATGGCAACGCAGCGCTTGTAGAGTGTACACCTCTTACAGGTAGAGCCCATAGAGATTTGGGTTAGAATTGGTCTTCGGTACCCATGCTTGTCGTAAGAGACAACTAACGGGTTCAGGCTCGCTGACTTGGCTGACATAGTCATCGTATCCCAATTGCTTAGATTGATGCTCATGCTGTTGATCACTGGATTGTCTGGTCCAGACCCGATTATTTACAGACCGCCGCCATATAGCTGGAATATTGCTAATCAACAAACAAAAACAGAAATACAACTAAATATTCAGTTCATCCACAGTGAAACATTTTCAAGTTATGTTTCAGTATGTTCCAATGATGTTCCAGTAATGTTCCTATGATGTTCCATGTTCAGTATGTTCCTGAATGATGTTCAGTAGTGTTCCAATGATGTTCCAGTAATGTTCCAATGTTCCATGTTCCAATGTTCCAGTAATGATGTTCCAGTAATGTTCCAGTGATGTTCCAGTAATGTTCCAATGTGTTCCAATGTTCCAATGATGTTCCAGTAATGTTCCAATGATGTTCCAGTAATGTTCCAATGATGTTCCAGTAATGTTCCGATGTTCCAGTAATGTTCCAATGATGTTCCAGTAATGTTCCAATGATGTTCCAGTAATGTTCCAATGATGTTCCAGTAATGTTCCAATGATGTTCCAGTAATGTTCCAATGATGTTCCAGTAATGTTCCAATGATGTTCCAGTAATGTTCCATGTTCCAGTATGTTTCCAGTAATGTTCCAATGATGTTCCAGTAATGTTCCAATGATGTTCCAGTAATGTTCCAATGATGTTCCAGTAATGTTCCAGTAATGTTCCAATGATGTTCCAGTAATGTTCCAGTGTTCCAGTAATGTTCCAATGATGTTCCAGTAATGTTCCAAATGTTCCAGTTCCAATGATGTTCCAGTAGATGTTCCAATGATGTTCCAGTAGTGTTCCAATGATGTTCCAGTAATGTTCCAATGATGTTCCAGTAATGTTCCAATGATGTTCCAGTAATGTTCCAATGATGTTCCAGTAATGTTCCAATGATGTTCCAGTAATGTTCCAATGATGTTCCAGTAATGTTCCAATGATGTTCCAGTAATGTTCCAATGATGTTCCAGTATGTTCCAGTAATGTTCAATGATGTTCCAGTAATGTTCCAATGTGTTCCAATGTTCCAATGTTTCCAGTAAATGTTTCCAAATGTTCCAATGTTCCAGTAATGTTCCAATGATGTTCCAGTAATGTTCCAATGAATGTTCCAGTAATGTTTCCAGTATGATGTTCCAGTAATGTTCCAATGATGTTCCAGTATGTTCCAAATGATGTTCCAGTAATGTTCCAATGATGTTCCAGTAATGTTCCATGATGTTCCCAGTAATGTTCCATGTTCCAATGATGTTCCAGTGAGTGTTCCAATGATGTTCCAGTAATGTTCCAATGATGTTCCAGTAAATGATGTGTTCCAATGATGTTCCAGTAGTGTTCCAATGATGTTCCAGTAATGTTCCAATGATGTTCCAATGATGTTTCCAGTGATGTTCCAGTAATGATGTTCCAGATGTTCAGTAATGTTTCAATGATGTTCCAGTAATGATGTTCCAGTAGTGTTCCAATGATGTTCCAAATGATGTGATGTTCCAAATGTGTTCAGTAATGTTCAATGATGTTCCAGTAATGTTCCAATGATGTTCCAGTAGTGTTCCAATGATGTTCCAGTAGTGTTCCAATGATGTTCCAGTAATGTTCCAATAATGTGTTCCAATGTTCCAGTGATGTTCCATTTATGTTCCAAGATGTTCCAGTAGTGTTTCAATGTTCCAGTGATGTTCCAGTGATGTTCCAGTATTGTTCTAGTGATGTTCCAGTTATATTCCTGTGGTGTATATATATATGTGTTTCAGTGATATCCCAATGATGTTTCAATTATATTTCACTTATGTTTCACTGATGATCCAGAGATGATCCAATGATGTTTCAGTGGTGTTTACATTCAAGTGAAGTTTCAGCTGTGTTTCAGTGGTGTTTCTGTGTTTTCTTCTGACCTTTAAGTGCTATTTCTGTTTACTTTAGGGCTGAAACATCAGATCCGGGTGCACCTGGCATTTGGTCTGAACACCCCAGTACTCGGCGACCACAAGTACTCCCACATCACCAAGGTGGCACCACAGGTGAGACAGGATGTTGGGTCTATTCTGCTGCATATGAAAGTGGGACACGAGTGGTTCTCAAGAGTAGTCACAATACTGTAGCATAGCCAAACAAGACGGAATTACTTACAAGAAACTTCTTATGTTGGTGTCTGTGAAGGTCCGAGTTAGAATTGGTCTTCGGCGTAAAAGGCGACTAACGGGATCGGGTGGTCAGGCTCGCTTACTGGTCTGACACATCATCGTATCCTAATTCCGTAGATCGATGCTCATGCTGTTGACCACTGGATTGTCTGCTCCAGGCTTGATTATTTAGAGACTGCCACCATAAAGCTGGAATATTGATGAGTGTGACGTTAAACAAACGAATAAATAAACAAAAGAATGAGCCACTTTCCATTAGTCACTACCTTTCTTATATCTTCTTCTATTTTCTCATTCCTTAACTGGGGCGGTGGGGTAGTCTAGTGGTTAAAGCATTGGCTCGTCACGCCAAAGACCCAGGTTCGAATCCCAACATGGGTACAACGTGTGAAGCCCATTTCTGGTGTCCCCCTCCGTGATGTTGCTGGAATATTGCTAAAAGCTGCGTAAAGCCAAACTCAGTCAGTCATTCCTTAACTCAGTATTTCCATCACTCAATCCTATTCTCATTCTCTCATCATGGGTTCTCACTTAAGTACTCATTCTTCCTTCAGTCTCTAATTCTGTCAAATTCTTCATTTCTTTTCTTTTCTCACTCCACTGCCCAGTATTTCCTCACTCCCTCATCCCTTCTCGTATTGTCCCGTTGACACAATTTAACTAATTTCTTGCTCAGTTGTACACAGGTCATTTTTTCCCCTTTCTGTTTCATTTTCTCATTCATCAAATCTCTCATTTATTACAACCTGTGAAGGTCCGGGTTAGAATTCAGTAACCCATGCTTGTTGTAAGAGGCGACTAACAGGATCGCTGACTGAGTTGACACGTCATCGTATCTCAATTGCATAGATCGATGTTCATGCTGTTGACTCCTGGATTGTCTGGTCCATACTCGATTATGTACAGACCGCCGCCAAATAGCTGGAATATTGCTGAGTGCGCTGTAAAACTAAACTCACTCGCTCACTCACTCATTCATTATCTCTCTCCTTCCTTTCAGCGTCTACACCCTGACCTGCTGCACCGACTCGGGATCCGGCAGAGCAAGGTGCGTCATCTTCCAATGCTGCTTCACGCCAAGAGCATCCTCATCCCAGGGTTCCTAGACGGGAGGAATCTCTCCATCCAAACACGACTACCTCGACATTTCTCTCTCAACATGAACAGGCTGAAGATTAAACCACCCAAAAACAGATAGTGGATATTACAATGAAAGAGTACCATGTATGGATGGACGAGTTATCACCTATCTCACATAGTCCTGTCACAAGCCCTCGAGGATTAAAGCTTTTAAAACAAATATACTGGACAAAAATAGTTAGGGATAAATGTAAATTTTGAAATTATGAATAAAGATTTTTCATTCATTGACACACTGATAAAATATTAATCTTAAAAATACCAATATCCCTAACTTATTTGGTCTAGTATATGTAAATGTTTGAGATGACCGTAAATTTGAGATGTTGTGAAAATGCTGCATGGGTCTTCACCAGATCGTCACAAAACAACATGTTTGTCATGATGTATTGTACTGTGTAGCATTTCGGATCGGGTCATCTCAAAATATATTTTTTTATCTTTAATCCTCGCAAAGACACGAGGTACTGTGAGTCCTGTGTCTACAGTGATGATCATATGAGAGACGGTGGTTAAACCATTCACTTGTCACTCCGAAGACAGTATTCGATTCCCCACATGGGTACAATGTGTGAAGCCCATTTCTGGTGATCCCTGCTGTGATATTGTTGGAATATTGCTAAAAGTGACAAAACCATCCTCAAGCTAATTGTATGAAGGGACATGCTACTTATACAAAATGTCCCAGATTCTGCCTACAATCACTCCTGTTTTCTATCAGAAACCAGCCAAAATCAAGGTTAAAGACTTGGAATACTTATATAGAGTTAACAAATTACATACAGAAAGGTTGATACACTCAATATTATATACTACTCAACTTGCTATGTAGATGACTTACTGCAGATGACTTTTTCTCTTTAGCTATGTTGAGTAATATACTTATGTAGGTCACTGCACTATAAGTTTGGCAGGGACGGTGGTATAGCTTGTGGTTAAAGTGACTGCTCGCCAGGTTTGATTCCCTACATGAGTACAATGTGTGAAGCCCATTTCTGGTGTTCCCTTCAGTGATATTGCTGGAATATTGCTAAAAGTGGCATAAAACTAAACTCGGTAACTCACTTTATGATGTTGTATGCCCTCTGTCACATGAACAATGTATGTCTGGTATACCGGGCCTGTCTTTGATTATTGAATAAAGTGACAATTAACACTCATTGCTTGATTTTCATATGTTGTCATTTATTCAGCTGATGATCTTAGTCCTGGTTGGAGAATCAGGATTGTCTACTACATGTCCATATAAGATTTAGTATAATTGTAGGAGAAAGCAGGGATGTTGCAGAGTGGTGTAGAGGGGCAGACTTTGGATATTCCAATGGTGTTATCATAGCAAATAAAATATTTATAAAACAATTCCAGCATGTTCGGGTAAAAACTGGTGACAATCATTTAATTTCCTTCAAAATATTTTTATCAGAAAATTGTTCCAAGAGTCCCTCCCTGTTGATGTCAATAGGATGCATTTTCTGATGTTGATGGTTGTTGTGACAATGGTGCATGGTTCGTCACCATTAAGTCATCAAACAACATGTTTTGTGAACTTAATGATGGTATTAAATGGCTGTCCAGTGCTATGGTTGGAGTTATGTATTTTGCATCCGTGTCTCCGTGACAAAACGTGTTACTTTACAAAATAATAAAACATTATGAAAACCATGGGGTTGATTGAATTTTTATGTTTAACTGTCCAGTGAGTGAGTTATGTTTTATGCCACTAGTGGAGATTTAACGGAACATATACCCTGGAGATTATCGAGGATGTGTATTTTGCTGCTTTCGTTCATCAGAGGGACTTCACAAAAGCGCAAAATCCGTAGCGTATCTGCCACCCCTCTTCAGATCGTACCAGGTCAGATACGAGGCTGTACATTGGACTCGATGGCCATATGCAGTGTATGAAATAAGGCCCGTCCGACCTACCGAGACGGTCTAGATTTCTGTCGGACGGTCTAAATTTACAGCTAGCCAGCCCGATGTTCCATACATCTGAGTAAATTCACCATATTTAGTCTGGTTAAATCCATTTTGGACTGGTAACATTTTGAAGTTACCGGACCTGATGTCTGGCTGGACTTTTGGCTTATTTCATACACTGCCATATGTCATGTCCAGATTGTCTGCTGTCTGTCGTTCGTCATAAATATCTGATACAACAGCTCCTACCCACCCACCGACCCAATGTTTCAGTGTGTTCAAGAAGTTCAGGGCCGTGGGGTAGCCTAGTGGTTAAAGCGTTCTCTACTCACACTGAAGTCCGGGTTCGGTTTCCCACATGAATAGTGTGCGTGAAAGCCATCTGAACACCTTCAGCGTCCATCTTATTCTCCTGAACCTGTTTCGTCAGATTTCCGTATGTTCCTAAGGCGCTGTGGGGTAGCCAAGTGGTTAAAGCGTTCGCTTGTCACGCCAAAGACTCGGGTTCGGTTCCCTACCTGTGTGAAGCCTATTTCTGGTGTCCCCCGTCGTGATATTGCTGGAATATTGCTGAAAATGGTGTAAAACTAAGCTCACTCACTGTTCCGAAATACGAAGAAATGTTTACGCAAAACTGTATCAGCTGGAACAATGATGCGGTAGCAGCAATTGGAGTGAGTGAGTGAGTATGGTTTTACGCCGCTTGTAGCAACATTCCATCAATACAACGGACGGGGACACCAGAAATGGTCTTCGTCTTCGGCGTGACGAGCCAACGCTTGAACAACTACGCTACTCCACCGCCATTCATATGTCCAGTTTAAAGAGAATCTTATCAAAGATGAGAAAAACACAATTTTCCGTAGTTTTAGACCACAAAATGTACTTCGTCAAATGATGTTTTATCATCACCACTATCCCACCAGAGAGTCTGCCACCTATAGAGATCCTTTCTGCCGGTTTGTTAATTTATGTCATAGTCTGGAAACACATGTTCAATATTATCGTCAGAGGTCCATGTTTCAGTTAGACCAACAATGTCAAACTGCCTTATAAATTTTACAAAATCAATATCTCCTAACTTGCTTGATATACCTGCGATGTTCCAGAAAATAAAGTTAACATCATTTTTTAATGTCAGTTGCTTTATCAGTCTCATTGGGATTTTTGTGATGCGTCGTAAAATGACCCTGGCCTAACCCCTATCTCCTCTGCCCCCTGTCCGGAGGGTGCGGACTTTACCTCAGTCGCCGACGCTTGTGCTGTTCCCCGGGAGCTCTAACCCTGTCTGTGGGTGTTGACTGGTCATCACATTTCATACACTGCCATATGTCATGTCCAGATTGTCTGCTGTCTGTCGTTCGTCATAAACATCTGATACAACAGATCCCTACCCACCCCCGACCCAATGTTTCAGTGTGGTCAAGAAGTTCAGGACCGTGGGGTAGCCTAGTGGTTAAAGCGTTCGCTTGTCACTCCAAAGACTCGGGTTCGGTTCCCTACCTGTGTGAAGCCTATTTCTGGTGTCCCCCGTCGTGATATTGCTGGAATATTGCTGAAAATGGTGTAAAACTGCTCACTCACTGTTCCGAAATACGAAGAAATGTTTACGCAAAACTGTATCAGCTGGAACAATGACGCGGTAGCAGCAATGGGAGTGAGTGAGTGAGTATGGTTTTACGCCGCTTGTAGCAACATTCCATCAATACAACGGACGGGGACACCAGAAATGGTCTTCGTCTTCGGCGTGACGAGCCAACGCTTGAACAACTACGCTACTCCACCGCCATTCATATCAGCTATGGAGATCGTTTACGACAGCTCAGAGAAAAAGGAGTAGAATGTATGTCAGTGTTGAAGGGAATAATGTGACAAATAAACCATATCTATGTTATAGGTTAATATGGGCTTTTGGGACCATGTGGGGCTCAGAGATTATTTACCATCCTCGTAAATGCAATAACACTGAAAGACATCAAACCTCACAGAGTTAAGAGTCACGTGACGCCTCTCTGTCATGCCTCTCCATGACAAAACGTGTTACTTTATATTACTATTTGGATAGTAAAGCATTATGAAAAGCATGAGGTTGATTGAATTTTTATGTTCAACTGTTCAGTGGGTGAGTGAGTTTAGTTTTAGGCCGCTTTTAGCAATATTCCAGCAATATCACCGCGGGGGACACCAGAAATGGGCTTCACACATTGTACCCATGTTGGGAATCAAACCCGGGTCTTTGGCGTGACGAACGGACGCTTTAACCACTAGGCTACTCCACCGCCCCTCAACTGGAACAGAAACGGCAACTCAACTGAATTTATGCGAGACAGAAGTAGCAGTGTAGACAGCGAGTAGTCTGGTCGCACCAAGTCTCCAGCACAAGCGACAGTGTAATAATCTGTGCATACACATTTAGTATTTATGTCAACCAATAATTACACAGCCAAATTCTTGAAATACATAATTTATCTATTTATGTACATAGAACATGCAAGAGTACAGTGAATGTTGAAATATTAAGTTTGGTAACGTCAGGTATTTAACGATCCAAACCCAGAAGACATAGCAAAGATAAATACCAAACCTGGGGACATATTTATCATGATTGTTACACTTATCTTTTCTCAACCGCATGCAATCACCAGAACACATCTTGGTGTCAACACCCATGTACTTCTCGGCGTCCGGATTACCACCTGATGTTTCCAGGCTTCCATTTTTACATTTTTATCAGTGTACACATACGGTTAATTAGACAAGTGTTTTCACATACCTGCTTATAAGGGGATAAATATTTGATTTATTTTCATCACTTTGCTACAGCAAAATAGCGTAAATTGATGCTCATGCTTTGATCACTCGATTGTGTGGTCCAGATTGGATTATTTACAGACCACCGACATACAGCTAGAATGTTGCTGAGTGCGGCGTTTAACAACAAATCAAACCCCAAAACAACAAAATAGGACGGAGACGTAATATTAACATTGAAATAGTGGCGTCTGGGTGCTAGGTAGACATTGATGGCATCAAATGTTCTCCACTGCGGCATCCGGAACTTTAAATAACAAGGCTGGGCATCCTTCGTCCGGCATCCAGCATCCGGCACCAAACGCAGTTGGATTGACATCCTCAACACATGCTACAAGAAGTTTACGACGATTCATACATTCTTTCTAAATTCATTCACCATTCAATATTTTGAACAACATATTGCTTTTAATTTCGTTGGAATAGTTTGAATGTTCTTCCTGAAGTCTTGGCTGCAGAAGCCATAGATGAATGGATCTGCCACATTGTTGATATAGAAGGACCTCATAGCTACTACGTGCCAGTGGGACAGCGCATGCGCCGGAAACGCCGCCATGTTGAAACCCATGAAGTAGAAGACCAGGAACAGATGTGGGGTGTAGCTGAGGAAAAATACGATAGATACAAGGAACATCATTAGGAATGTCTTCTGTGTCTTCCTCTCGTACCGTGTTTTCTTATCGTTTGGAGGCACTATAACACTATTACGATTAACTGTGACGGTTAGTTTTCGTGAATTGTCCTGGCCACCCTGCTGAGAGTTCTCAAGCCCTTTCTGGTTAGTGCTGGCCAACGTGTTTGAAGTGTTCGGTGTTATGACCCGATCCCCCTGAAGGTCTCTGTCAAAGGATAATGGGTTTACTCGATTGGTTGAAACATTTCTTGCAGCAAAGGCTTTCCTTTTCGTCCAGAGTCCCCATCCAGTGAGAATGTACAGACCGGCAAGGATGACTAGACTTACCAGGAAGAGCGATCCCAACACGATGTAGAACGACAAGGGATAACGGGTTTTCATATATGCATTTTGAACCCCGCAGAAAATATGGATCCCGTCATCGAGTTCCAGTTCCGTGATTCCAAACATGATGACGACGGGGAGGCTAGAGTCAGGGCCACGCAAAAAGCAACAACACCAATAATCTTAGCAGATTTTACAGACATGTTGGACGAATGGGGACGACAAACGGCTTGGTAACGAATCGTTGCTATAGAAACTAGCAGTACAGCGGAAGCAATGGCGGTGAAGGCGATCATGAAACACGACATCTTACATATGATCATGTTGGGTAGACGCTCAGGGTCATATACAGACGCCAGGTCAAGCGGCATGTGGAAGATGCACGCCAGTAGGTCAAAGGCACCTAGCACTGTGAGAAGGGTGTTGAAGGCTGACGATTCCTTCTTAAAGGCGTACAGGACAAGCAAGTTGCCGACAGTTCCGATTATCATCGACAAGGAAATGAACCCAACGACAACATTACTGACAGCAGGGATGGGGTCCTGAGACGTGGAATTCATTGTGAGATTCGTTGTGGTTTCCAGGAAATGTCAATAACGAAGTTAATGTTACCTATTCATTATGCTTTTGTGGAAATTTCAGACTCATCCGTTTGCTTTCATTCGTTCCTACTTTCTTCAATACGTTGCATTGATCTAGGGTAAACATTTCGCATCAGAACATGTTGTCATCCATTGCGTTAAGCTGCTCCACGACTCAGCTCCATCCAGGTGGAGATGATGGTGATGATGCTTGACAAGGGGTCCTGTGTGAGCTGCAGGTTACCAGCGATTACCTCCCTTTAGTAACCGGAAACCCCCTGAAAAGAGATAATGGTCACTTAAGAACACATTAGTACTTTAGTAGTTTCACTTATTCACTCGACTCCACACAAGACAATTGTCCGACCCCCCGCCGTGATATTGCTGGAATATTGCTAAAAGCGGCGTTCAAAAGCGGAGGGTTTCGGCCTCCTGTTTCACTTAAATACTTGAGTGATGCAAATCTATGACCGCTTAACGAAATTAGCCGATGACCAAATTTTTAAATGCTGTGTGGGGCGGTTGGTAGTCTGTCGTACAGACCCTGAAGCAAATATATCCAAGAAAGCCCACACAAGTCTAGAAATTGTGGCAAGTCAGGAGTCTGAAAATGAAGAAAGTCTCAGGGCTCCTTTTCATTATATATATTTTTTTTACTATGAACTTTTTTCAGTAAAATATGTTCATTTCAGAGACTAGTTGTTAGTCTAGGCGGTTGGGTAGCCTAGTGGTTATAGCGTTCGCTCGTCACGCCGAAGACCTGGGTTCGATTCTTCACATGGGTATATGTGTGATGCCCATTTCTGGTGTCCTTTGCTGGAATATTGCTGGAATATTGCTATCAGAGGCGTAAAACCATACTCACCTACTGTAACATCTGCGTACATTAATTAAGTAGAACCTATGAACGCCCCCGTCCATACAGTTTCCTTTGTGCCTGATCCGGCCGAAAGATTAAAAAATGTAAAAATCTATAATCGATATCCCTATCTCGATATATCGTTTAAAACGATTTTTCTTTATTGTTCCGTCAAATCCCCATGGCGCAATAAAACTAATATATGTATTTACCAACACTCACAGAGAGTGCGACACGAATAATGTTGTTTGCGAGGTATTACTATGTCTAGTGGATAACACAATAGGACAATATATCATATTATAATAATAATAATAATAATAATAATAGTCCACTTATATAAACCATCTCGTTGAATTAACCTTATAGAATTTTTCATGCTTTCAGTTAGTTTTAAAGCGTATGTCGATCGGCGGGATATATAGAGGTGTGTGTGTATGGTTTTAGCAATATTCCAGCAATATCAGTGTGGGGGACACCAGAAATGGGCTTCACACATTGTTACCCATGTGGGGAATCGAACCCGGGTCTTCGGCGTGACGAGCGAACGCTTTAACCACTAGGCGACCCCACCGCCCCACAGCCGGGTCGACCTCGCCACGTATTATACAGACAAATCAATCCCTGGCAAACAATGTAAGTATCCCAGCCATAGGAAAAGTAGAACAGTTCAACATACAAATGAAATTCAAAGGTAACACTACTGAATTGTTTCTGAGTGAGACTGCAACCGAAAGCTCGCATCACATTCGTTTGAACTGCTATAGTTCGGCCGGTATTCCCAATGGAGTGCTTATTTACTGTGGGTGAAAAACTACATTAAGTTGGGGATGATAATACTGATTGCACTGTTTAACTACCAGCCAGTCGTGGTGCTTCTACTTGAGGCCGACAACCTACTGACACAGTTTTCTGCCAACGCGACTGGGATTCATTAGTAAGTGGGAAGAAGGGGTAGCCTAGTGGTTAATGCGTTGGCATGTGACGCCGAAAACCCGGGTTCGATTCCCCGAATGCGTGATGCGTGAATTTCTGATGTCCGTCGTGATATCGCTGGAATATTGATATAAGCGGCGTAAAACCATACTCACTCATTAACTCACTCAGTAGTAAATACAACATGTAGCCTGATGTTGGTCTGTCTCGCGGTAGCCTCTACCAAATAATTTTCCCTTCCACCCGGTCTGGGGCGGTGGGGTAGCCTAGTTGGTAAAGCGTTCGCTCGTCACGCCGAAGACCCGCGTTCGATTCCCTATATGGGTGCAAGGTGTGAAGTCCATTTCTGGTGTCCCCCGCCGTGATGTCGCTGGAATGTTTCTAAAAGCGGCGTAAAACTACACTCACTCACTGTCCATTCTTAGTCAAGAGTGGACTCGCTGACAAACCATACTCCCTCATTCACTCAACCTAGTCTGTGATGCAGTAGACCTAAATGAATCAAGTCTATATTCCCCTGAGTCTCCGAGCTCACTGGGTCTACGTTTCAATTTATGTGTTGTTGCTTGCTCCGAAAGTATATATTTCCAGTCACTTCGTGTTAGTTCTGGATATTGCTCACAACACTAAATATCAGAAAATATACACATGGAAATTAATTAATAATAATAATAATGAGAAGTCTTATAATGCGCTAATCTCCACGCAACAAAGCATGCTCCAAGCGCTAACACCCTGATTATTATTACCCCGGATAACCCAAGCTGCCTGTTAGGCGCTAGAAGGTTATAGTCACATGACTTTGTCCAACCGGGTACCCATTTTCTGCTGGGTGAACAGAGGCAATTTTTGAATAAACTCACTTGCCTAAGGTGAGACCACATGTATCACATGTGCTTCGTTGTGGGGCAGGACTGAAGTCCTAGAAACTCTCAGGAGTCAAGTTGTTAAACACGGTCACCCATCCAATGACTGTCCGAGCTCGCCAGGGCGGTGGGGTAGCCTAGTGGTTAAAGCGTTCGCTCGTCACGCCGAAGACCCGGGTTCGAATCCCCACATGGGCACAATGTGTGAAGCCCATTTCTGGTGTCCCCCGCCGTGATATTGCTGGAATATTGCTAAAAGCGGCGTAAAACCATACTCACTCACTCACTCCGAGCTCGCCGTTGCTTAACTTCAGCTGATTCGTGACCTACGCTCACAGAGCGCACAGGACCACACGCCACCACAATTAAGCACCCCAAATATATTTTATCATAGTGATGTAGCCATCGATGATGATGATGATGATGATGATGATGATGATGATATGGCAGTGATGTCATTGGTTAGTAGCACAAGGTTTCTTGATCAGCCATCATGCACCTACTCATACCGTGAAAAGCATTATTTGTGTGAGTGAGTTGATGGGTTGGGTGACAGAGTGAGTGAGTGAGTCAATGAGTGAGCCATATCAAAATAGAGATACCACTAATGAGCTTCAAACACCAATCTGTGGAATCAAACCCGTCTATTCTTCATCACTTGCTTCAGATTTATAGCACTACATCCGAGTAATACGAGTACAACCCGCGCCATAGAAGAAACGAATCAGTCATCAAATAATTTTCCAACATTACACAAAAACGTTTCCCCATTAATATCACTTAAGAACGGAATAAAAGAGGCACGGGCCTTCACTTTTGTAATACAAGCAATATTTATAAGGAAGTACATACAATCCAGGCATTTTATACGGAAGTTGCATCTCTGCAGTTCCAATGTTCTAATTGTGGTCAAGAGTTATATGGTAACGTCTGGCAGAATAGCTAATGTCGGTATATACAAATTTTATACAATAATCAATATCCATCAATTCCACCATTGTCAAGAGTATATGGTAACGTCTGGCAGAATAGCTAATGTCGGTATATACAACTTTTATACAATAATCAATATCCATCAATTCCACCATTGTTAAACACTGGGCCGTGTGTCACGAACCCTTACAGGGACTGATTAATGGTATTAACCCAAAAAACTAAATAATTCTACCCGAAACGGAACTTAAGTTTTTGTTTTCTTCTAAACCCCAGTGTGTTTTCAGAAGATTCAGTATTTTGGCAATGCATGTTGTCCAGTCGGTGTGACAACCTTTTATCACAGCGCAATCCCAGCGTCGTGCACTGGTCTACCTGAAGTGTTTTACTAGGCTGTACATACCGTACTCACTAGTTTCACTGTTTCACGTACCCGTGAAGATCCTGGTGCGGCGTTAAACTAAACTCACTCACTCACTGTTTCACGTGACTATGACATAACAACACAATGCCTTCTGACCTAACCATAAGTGTTGTGAAGATTCTTAGTTTTTACAACTAAAAAAACACTTTTCTAAGCATCGTCTATACACACGAAAAAAAGTATCGCAACACAACCTATTTTTCATGGCGTTAGTATGCTGCCATTAATCATAGCAAAGGGACTTATCATGCCTCAGTTTAACTGCTGTCTCACATCACTATCACATAGCAACACAATGCCTTCTGACCTAACCACAAGTGTTGTAAAGATTCTTAGTTGTAGTCTAGACTGCGGACTTTGTGTACCCCTCTGATAAGGGTCAAATGTAACATATGTTATATTTGGGATTACACTTTCTTAGTAAAGTACAGATTCTAGTACTTTCTAAAATGGCATTGTGTATTTCACAGCTTTCGGCCGTGGGAGCCGTGCCGATTAACACTTATCAGACGGGTACACAAAGTCCGCAGTCTAGACTACCAGTTGTCCGACTTCCATTTTTGTGGAAGCCGTGGTGGCTGAGCGGTCTAGGCGTCTGACTTTGTGTGCTGGCGATTAGGTGCCTGACTCTGAGGGTGTGGGTTCGAATCCCGGATGGGACTCAACTCAAAAAAGTACTAGAATCTGTACTTTACTAAGAAAATGTAATCCCAAATATAACATATGTTACATTTGACCACTTTCTAAAATGGCATTGTGTATTTCACATCAAGAATTTGTACTGGATAATCTCTCTGGCGTTTTCTGCCAGAATTCGGGTTGCTTTGACTTGTTTGACCCAGAATATCTGCCAGTCGAAAGCAAATTAATGTCGAATGAACCGTAAGCCCACGCACCCATTATGACGTCACTTGACAACAAAACTGATAGTGGCCCGTCGTTAAGGTTGAGCGGTCCAATATCATTTGCAGCGGCCCGCAAATTTCTGATAATAGGAGGGCCGTTTCATGATAATTCCATGTATTTTAGCTATAATAGATGGATACCTGGACTCCTGGCGGGCCGACGTGGAGTTACTGCCGCCTCTTGACGTAAGAAATCACCAACGGAACGTGCACGATATGGCCTAGCATTGTCGTCCATGAAGACGGACCTTGTGTTCAGAAGATGGTCATCGAAATGTGGTACAACAACCCTGTCTATGATGCCAGTGGTGTACCGTTATCCAGTCAGATTTTGTCTGATCGTCACAAGGTCAGG